AGTTGATGCTCACCTCTCCGCTCTTCCAACTCTTCCAATACGATGGACGTAGTTCTGCTTCTCATCTGGCAGGGTGACGTTTATCACTGGAGAAAAAAGACAAAGAGAGTGGACTTGTAGATACAAAATACAGCAAAGCAACATTTTTCAATGAACACTGTATATAAAATCAGCATTAGAAAAGGTACCGGTATGTCGAAATGCATGTTGTGTACGAGAAATTGAATATATTTACCATAAGGAACTCCGTGAACGTCAATTCCTCTGGCAGCTACGTCTGTGCAGACCAAGAGCCTCACTTCTTTTTTCTGAGAGCACAAGAAGATCTTCAAAAACTGCGAGAAAGGTTCCAATTCGGAAAATGGTCACTCATAAGTCAGCGTCCTTTTACCTTGAATCGCTCCAAGTTAGTCTTTCTCTCAATTGGCTTTCGATCACCATGGAGACAGACACAGGAGAGCTGGTGGTTTTTACTGTCTGGACCTAGAAATTAAAATAAAAAACACTCAGTTCATACGCCGCCGCTGAGTTGAACGTGTATGATGTCATCTTCATGTAGGAGTGTGTGCGCGCAATGGCGTGTCCCCACTTTGAAACGCCTCCTACCTCCCCCTTGCTGAATGAAGTACTGCTCCATGTTGTCACAGTCGATCTTGGTGCGGCAGAAGATGATGGCCTGGTCCATCTTGTGCTCTTTGATGGCCCTAACAGTGTACTCGCCCTTTAGCATCTTGATGGCTTCCGACCACATTTCTGTAAAAATACACACTTTTTTGTTCTCAATCGCCACTCGCGATGTTCAACGCATCCCACTCAAGGGTAAAATTGAACAAATTGGGCTTATTTTCTGCCCTTACCTGCAGAGTTGGCTCCTGGTCTGGTGTTATCTTTGGCATGGACTTCATCAGTCTATCCAAAACAAATCAAAACGGAAAAAAGCTTAGTCAACACATTCATCTCTATGGAGAGAAACCACAACATGTGCGCTCAAAAGTGTGTTGAATCTTGAATTCACACCCCTGCGGCATCCCTCCCCGACCCCCACGCCATGGCACGTCTTTGGGCCAACACGAGGGACTCACCCGGATGTGGTTCTTGGCGAGGCGCTCCCAGAGGCGGTCGTTCTTCGGATTTACAGGCACTACCACGTGGTGGACGCTCTCGGGGACGGAGTCCTCGCCCTTCAGGTCCACCCACGTGGGAAAGTGCATGATGCGCTCAGACAGCTTCTTTACGTCAAACGAATGCAGCGTGGCTGAACAGACGATCACCTGAAAGAGAAGACATCAGGGGACGCTGATCGCGTGGACTTCCCCCTGTCTTACGGCAATGATTTGATCCGGCACTCGACCGCTCTGACTGTCATCTGAGGGAGTCGTTTAGTGCATACACTCGTGTTTTAAGTGATCCGAGATTGTCGTCGCTAAAATGTTTATTGTCACACGTGCGTTTTTACCTGCAATCTTTTACCGTCAGAAGTGACTTGAGGGATTTGGTTATGGATCCTGTTGAGAAAGTCTGTGTAGCCTGCGGACAGTAAGCCGTCCTAAAGGGACATCGGGAAAGGAGACAAACATCGAGTGACTTTAGGGAATGTTATGGAACGCAGCTAATAAAAACAGTATATTTGTACTTTGCAGGCAGGGAACCATTCAATCATTTTCAAGCAACAGGACATATTGCACGTACACACTCATCCAGGACTAGAAAGCGGACTTGGGAGAGACTGAGCTTCCCAGTTGATATAAGGTCGTCTAGTCTTCCAGGCGTTCCCACCACAATGTCAACCTAATTTAATTAGATAAAACAAACAACAAGAAAGGGGAGGAGAACATGGAAAGAAAATTAATTATGTCCGTTTCAACTCTGTTTTTAAAAGTAAATTTAATGTTTGTTTGGTGACATTACATGGGACCTACCCCGTGTTCCAGAGCAGCCATCTGATCTTTGGCAGGGACGCCACCAATCACCAGGAGGTTCCTGTTGGGACAAATTTATATATTTAGTCAATGGTTAATAACATGAAGCACTGGCTCCATCTGCTGGCATAAACCAAGAAGTAAAAAGCTCCATGCAATGATTTAAGAATAGCGCTGGTAATAATGCAGCAGGAATAATTTTATTGTGGATCAGTATTGCTGTTTTTACGTGGATATGCCAGTTCATGGTTTTACGATATTTGGTCATCTCATCTGTGATGACATCTGACATCTATCGTCATACCTGAGTTTGGGATTATCTACATATTTCCCACACTGCTTGACATTGTTGAGGGTTTGTTCGGCCAGTTCTTTCGATGGCTCCAGGATCAGTGCTCTAGGCGCGTTCGACGATGCCTTCGCCTGACTCACTTTGGCACTGCCTGCACCAAAACAGATCAGACAGTTATTAAATACTGTACCACACGAGTGACACCTATCTTTGGCGATATTGATGTATAGGTATCAGTAATGGTAAAAAATATAACTTAAAAAAACACTAAACCTTTGTAAAATATTGTGAAAATAACTAATGCATTACCGGCCTTAGAAGAAATGATCTGTTGTTGTATATACGTGTATGATATCTATTTCACAATGCCATTTAGTGTATTTACATGATGCATCCACACACCTGCTTGAGGAGATTTGACTGCATGGCCCTCTGGCGCCTGTACCAAGGCAACAAACCCACTCTTAGGGGCATTTTTAAAGTCTTCACTTCCAAAGTTAAACTTCAGCTCTGCATTCTGACAAACAAAAGAGCAAAGAACCATTTGTACGATACACCTCTCACACCCGTTTGTTTACTTTGTAGCACTGTCTTGATGCAGTACCTTGAGCACACAGGAGGCAAAGAAGGGCTGACTCTGCACATTTTGAGGGATCTCAAAAGCCGTACCCAGGTCGTTGCCTGAAAGACAAGAACCAGAAACATGAGAAATGTTGCCATGTGAAACCGATCCCAGATGTCTTACGTATTTATGATAATGAGAGCGAGAACTGCTGAGACGGCACCGTTTTTAGAGAAGGAAATCTGTCCCTTGTCTAGGTCCAAGTAGCATCCAATAGTGTCGTGCATGGTAAACTCCTGCAAACAGGCGAGACAACGAAGAGAACACATGTTTTAAAAAAAGGATCCTCGCAATTGCTTACATGTCAAACTATTCACTGTTCAATTTTCACCTCTCCATAGCTGTCAAACTGCTTGTTGTTGGATTTCTTTCCAGTCCCCCCAAAACCAAAACCATACTTATCGGTTCCTGGAAAGAAATAAAAAAGAAAAAGTGTGTGCGGATTGGGTTAGGTTCTATTAAGCCAGTTTATTTGAGCGGTTTGTTATACAGCGCGGGGATTGTGATGCCGAGAGGAGCGTACCCAAGTCCAGAGCTGCCTGACTGGTGGACCAGCCGATGCGACACAGACCCTGATCATGGCAAGTCACCTCATAGTAGTACTTCCCTGAACACAGAAATACATGGATAGATAACAATTGCAAAGACATAAAAGGATCCATACAATGCAAGTCTATCAAATAATGATTTGGTTCTCTGTGAAATGCACGTATGTTGTCATGTCATCCGTATTTGTCTTTTACTGAACATCTTGCATTACACACCTTTGGAGACCCCTTTTGTAGAGCGACAGCCATGCCACTCTTTAAACTCCCTGCTCTGGCAGCACAGACCATCTGGACCAATCGCTGTAGAGGCATGAAAGGAAAAAGTGTGAATGAATAGCGATGACAAATAACAGAGCTGAAACGTGGCATTCCATGCTCATTTTCACCCTCGTACCAAAGGCAGCGCTGCGGTCATAAGGATTCATCTGCCAGTTGTTGAAAACTGAACAAAAACAAAGAAACAAGTAGGTAGATTAAATGTCTGCAGAAAGAAGCCACTGATGTTATATTTGTTTGTATTATCATACTGGCCCAACTAGGTATATTGGACCAGAGCTCTGTCCAATGTTATCGGGAGCCTGTATAAAAAAAAGTCACTGACTGAAACCTATAAAGTCACTACTATTTAAGTGGTCTCACTAGCTCCTCCAGTCTTGATGGAGGATCTGCCCCTCTTGCCCTCTTGCTCATCCTTCAGGGTCTCATACACAATCTGGATCACAGGGATAGTGAAGGCCTGAGGATGACAAGGATTGCACACTTTATTACGTAATTCGGACTGATGTTGTTGATGCAAACTGCGGAGGTACAGTAGTTCTTTAAAACTGAGTAGATGTCAGGTACTTACGCCGGTTTTACCGCTCCCAGTTTCAGCTGCCTGAAAAAAAGAAGAAGAGTATAATAGGTGTCAAACCTTCTGCGTACAAACATTCTGTCTGAGACAAGCAGAAGCAAAGAAGTAAATATACCATAAGTACATCTCCTCCACCAAGAATAAGGGGAATGGACTCGGCCTGGATGTCAGTAGGTAGCCTGAAATCCAATGGTTGAAACACATAAGTTAGTTGTCAACTGTAACTGGTGACAACAATATGGACATAACGTCATATGGCGATATGGGTAGTATTTTTAAAGTAATTACAGAAAGCCACTCGACTTACAGCCAGCCCAGCTCTTCCACAGCCTGCGCGATTTCGGGCATAACCCCCATTTCTGTTGGACAAAATATATATTATTCAGTGAGCACGTAGCTTTTTTAAAACTAGTTTAGAGATTACATAAAATACGATTGCGACGTCAACGTGAAGTTGATAAAGCTATATTCTTACCAGAGAACGCTGCCATTATTGCTGCTGCGAATGCAGTTTTACCGGATGTGACGTGTAAGTGGGTAGTGTAACTGGGATAGCCCGCCAGCAGAGCAGCCTTATGACATTGGTTCCGGTTGGTAAAGTAATTCCTAAAATAGGTTAAATATTTTACTACCCATTTTACTGCTGAGTTGAGCTACATAAGCATATGTTTGCGTTAATATTATAATATGTAAGGAGATATTAAGCCACGAAAAAGCCTATTTTCAGGGTTTTGTCTCCAGACGCGGGTTCCTGGTGTATTTTGTCCAGTGATACTCGCCGTAGAGTTCTTGACAGCCTGTTCAAGTAAACATGGCTGAAGAAAGTCTGATTGAAGGCGAAGATGAGAACATTTTATACGATTTACTCGTCATTACCGAATGGCCGCCAGAGACCGACACTCAGGTCTGTGAAACTTCCATTTTAAACATTTTCAATTCAGTGTGTAGGTCTTTCTTGAGAATTTATTTGGAAAAACGGCCTCCGAAAAACTCGCTCAAAGCCACGTAGCATACAACCAGAGCCACATTTCCATATGAATCTCTATTTAACACTCATACGGTGTAGCATGATTTCTGATTATAATACATTAAGTTAACGTCTGTTTTCATCTGTGAGGACCTCATAACTTGCTTAATATAGAAAGCTAAATGGACTAGCTAACATTAACTGTCATACTTTCATCAAAGTCAACCCGAAGACACCGACGCAACTAAGCTAACATGTCACTTTCTATCGTTTGCAGTTGCGAGGTAACAAGGAGCGCAACACGTCACTTATTGCAAAAGCAGTGACAGGTAAGTTCACTTGTAGTCTACCCCAACGTTAGTTGTGATACCCAGTATGCCGAAAGGGGGCACTAGATCAAGGTAAATAGGCTTATTTACAGGTCCCATTTGTCCTTAACGGCACGTCCTGACCTTTATTTAGGATGTGAGAGGATATGGCCTATACTGGATAAATTAATTAGCTTATAGTATCTTTGTGATTTTTCTACTAAATATGATATATTTCCTACAGGGCCATTCCGCTTAATCCTGCACTACTTGTGGTACAGGTAAGTTCATCACTATATAGTGTGCCGGGAGTCCCTGACATGCACAGTCCCAAAACAATTATGCCAAAACATGTTTTGGTGAAAAGAATGTTGAAATATGTTAGGTCAAAAAATGCTATAATTAGGTTGAAAAATATTTTTTTTATAAGGTAAAATATCTTAAGTCAAAAAACGTATTTAAAAAAAGTCTGGATATATTAGGTTGAAAAAGATTTTGAAAAAAATCAAGATATATTAGATAAAAAAAATGTACACAGTAATTACTGTGCTTTGGGCATAATTGCTTTGTACAGCATGAATATGACAGGAAACCTTTCTCCAAAAGCATTTTTGTTGTTTTTTTGGCCTTAATAACAACAACTTTCATTGTTTTTTAAGTGGTATTTGAATTAGATAATTTTGTATGATGTATGACATGTTACATCATATGATGGCCTTGATTATTCCCATTCTGGCTTTCAATTGTTTGCTAACTCAGATTAAAAGGAAAGTTTGTACATAATCATTTGCAACTGAGACTAGTAGGACAACACTTCTAATTCTCGAAATAACTTTGTTTTTATAGACGCACTATCCTATATTGAAGATGTATACTTATCTCACCCTGCTCTTATTGCCCATCCTGTTAGCAAATGACTAGATGTGGCCCGCTGTAGATTCTGTAATGCTGCAGCATCAAGACCTGCTTATCGTCTCCTTAGGTTGTTAGCTAGCACCTCAATAATCTGACTGATTGCCCTCCCATTGTGTGACAAACGTTTGACTGATTTGATTGTAATGGAATATCATTTTCCTTTAATGTAATGCAATTTATATTGATTTTTCATGCAACCTAATTTAATTATTAACTAATTATTCCTAATCTAACATAATTTGATATACATTACATTCTTATCTAATTTAATCAAATGTTTAGTGTAACTAAATTAAGGTAGTTTAATTTAAAGGATTTTCCTTTAAGCTTGATTGTATTAAATCATTTCTTGAAACAAAATTTAATTTCAATGAATTTAAACTAATGAAATGAAATTCAGCTCCCGTTCATACTTGTGTTGATTAACATGGATATTTTACTTATCATTTACTGACCAACATGTTTGTTGGATTTTGTGAACCTCAGCCCCTCCAGCTCGTCTGTGCCGCTCGGTCTTCTCCGCCTGGCCAACAAGCAGATCAACTGGCAGCTGGTGCTAGCAAGGTGGCGCGCACACACAAACGCACGCACACTTTGATTCAAATACCTGAATGCAAGCTGCTTTGTTGCCAACATGCACTAAGCCTTCCTCCCGCAGGCTTCCCCCCTCAACCAGTCATTTAATTGTACTCATTACAGCAAACAAACCAAATAGAAAGACTGTTTTTTAATTGGCTATCGATCCCACTGTAAGACGGCGTTAAGCGCAGCCAAATGAGGCCGCCAATGTCCATTAGTTTGATGTGCTTGATCCTTGATCCCTTTCGTTTCTGTATCCCCTTGAATGTTCATCTCTCATTTAATTCCCCCTGAAAGTATCTCCGCTGTGATTAACGCTCGCGATAATACTTGTTTCTCCTCGATTTAAGCCATCCAACGTCTTATTCCACACCTAATCTCCCATCCAAACCGGCCCGCCATCACACACTCGTATTTTCCTAAATCACTCTAGATGGTCTTCATTTCAAAATATCAAATATCAATATCTTCTCTCTCCTTTTTCTGTCTTTCTCTTCTTCTCTCCACAGCAACGGCAAACTGTTGGCTGTTGTTCAGGACCAGTGTGTGGAGATTAGGTAATTATTGAATTCTTTTTGCTGTTAGCTATTTGAGGCGTTTTGTGTGTATTGAGTAATAGAGAGCATCAAGGTGATGCATCATCGCATCATCTCTTTTTTTTGAAAGAGCTGCATTCTCAGCCTGTAACTAATTAATGAAAAAATGAATCGGTCATTGTAAAAATATCTGTCAATTTAGCAAATCCTCGAAATGAAAGCACAAGCGCTGCCTAAATGTTTTCATTTGTTTGTGTGTGTGTGTGTGTGTGTGTGCGCGCGGTATAGAACAAGAGACCAAAGCATACACACGCTTTGGTATGCTTGTGCTCATTTTGAGTGGTTGTAATTATTTTCAGACACAAATCCAATTTCCCTTTTGCATAGAGAAAATGTGCTCACTCTGCAATCTGCGCCATTGACACAAAGTAACACTTTAAACGGAGCAGGAATTGAAAAGAAAACTAATAGCAATGCAGCGAATACGCCGTGCTCTCCCGAGACTGACAAGAGGCGAATTTAACTACTGCGAAGCGTTGGCTGAAAGGACTTGTTTTCCCCATCAACTCCTCTGTGTAATCGGAAGTAATGTTCATGCAGATACCGATATGCGAAAAAACCCAGAGCGTGTCTTATTCATTGTTCTCATTCACCACCCTCCAAATTGTGTTGTGGTCGCGCCGTTTAAATCGAAGGCAATCAGGTCTCCCCGCGCACGCCTCAGCTTGATATCGCCTTCGTTTGCTCCACTGCTGTTTAAACACAGCGTGTTTTATGGCCTTGCTTTATGGCATCTGTTGGTGCGAGTGGGTGTTAAGTCAGCTCAAGGCCTCGTCCGCTGGGCTCTGTGAAAGAGTCTGCTCTCAACATCCATTGAGCTACGATCAGTGGCGATTACATCCTACCCATATAACCGGTCGTATATGGCGACGGAGTGCGTGTGGTCGCACCCTTGGGTGCGATGTACTGCTTTTTCACCTGTCCTGTGTTTGCTCCTCAGGTCTGTGAGAGATGACTTTGGCTCTGTTATTGGCAAGTGCCAAGGTAAGACCTTGCCCGTCCTTTTTCTTATTAATCGTATTACGTTCATTATTTATTTTAAACCTGTAGTCTTCATTTGCAGTCTGTACAGTTGTGTGTGTGTGTGTGGGTGTTTGTCTGAGATCAGAAACACAGATGATACTCCTCCTGTAGTGGTTGATCAAAATATATCGGCTCCGTTGTTCGAATTAGCTGTTAAAATGTCCTTCTGCGTAGCTTTTAGTGGTAGGCCCTGGATTTCTACAAGTTTAGAAATGTTAAAAGCATAATACAGAAGGAGGGACACACAGTGAGATGTTGGTCCATTATAGCTTTGTTTTCTCTTCAAGCTGCATTAATTAATCACATTATTTCCTACAAAAAGCCATGATATACCAATTTGTACACTACCCGCCCAGCCCCGAAGGCTACACAGCCACCGCTGGTACGTAGCTCGTGTCTGGGGACCACAGTTTTTAGCAGCTAAAGAGCCACATATTTTCCTGTGTGGGCGGAGAACAAAACCAAGCTAAAAGGAGATTGACCTGTAACAACAGATGCACCACTTTGGAGCCACCGTGTGTAGAATTTCTATTCATCGGACTCCAAATGATGGATTGTGTTGCTCTGTGACTCCTCAATGGTTAATTGTAGTTGACATGCTAACCATAACAACTTTATACGGTGATATTATTATGCAAATGTTGTGGGAACAGCTTGTTGTGCTGCCCCCGGCTTGCCAGAAATATCAATTAACAGGGGTTTGGAAATGTGCAACAGATGCGCCACGTTGGAACCTCTCTCTGTGTCCCCCTTTTCCCCATCTAGTCAGTCTTTGTCACGCCATATTTGTTGAGTAATATTTCTTGTTCCCCGGCTAGCCGTCGTCGCGGTGACGTTGTTGTTCTAATGGCTCACAGTGCCGGATAGCAGTAGCCCCCCCCCTTCCTCCCCGGGCCTCCATCTCCGTTTCATTTTCCTTTTACTTCATTTCATTTCACGGAGATTTATCCTAATGGATTTTGCCGCGATCCCGCCTTTTAATGGCATTTTCTTTTAATGAAGGGGCTTGCATGGGCGTGTGTTAAATGCTTTTCTTCGCTTGTGCGAGCGCTTTGTGCGTATGCATCTCCTGGCGCGCTGGGTTCATCCGCACCTGTGTATCCCTCCCCCTTCCCTCTCTGCTCTTGTTACAGTGCGGTTGTCTCCCGCCTCCGTACATAATTCACAAACGTTCTGATAAATGCGTCCGTGGGGCTTTAGATAAAGGGCTTCTGTTGGGTCGTAGGATGGAATTCTCCCCAAGTTCAGGGCCCCACAATCACTATGTGATGTACAGTAGCATCCAATCTTCCTGCGCTCCAAAAAAACCTCCCCATCTATGTGGAAATGGAGCCCTTTCAGCTATAGAACAACACAATGTATACAATTCATAATTTGGCCGAGATAAGAAGAGAGGCAGTGTGAGAGTGAAATGAAAAAATACAAAAAAGGAAGCAAAAGACGGGATCAGAGGAGACGCTCGGCTCCTCTGAATCTCATAATGCCCCCATGTTCGTGTCGGCGCCTCCTCAGCCCGGAGTCTCACAGGTGTGTTAAATCGCCGACTTCCCGAGGTGCTGTCTGATACTTAGGCCTTCCAATTTTGGAAGCCATTATTTCTCTCAGTGGGTGCCGTATTCATTATTTCCTCCCCTCCCCCCTCTCTATGCCTGTCTCGCCTCCCACTTCTCCCTTTTTGTTCTTCATTTAAAATTCTAGTCATACAATATCCGACGCCTCCGTTCGTTTGCTGTATTGCCCACCAGGGGTTGTGGCGGCGTTGCTCAGCCAGGAAATTCAATACAATAAACGCCGACAGCGGCGTGATTTGATATCAACGTCCCTCTTCATAACTTTATGGCTCAGCAGACGCGGCGCACGTGCGGCCCTATTATGTCCCACGCTGTCCTCTGTCCATGCAGATGTCTGTGCTGAAAGTTGTGCGGTTTTCTACTCAAATACTCGAATGGGCTCCGCACAATACACAGAAAAAGGGTCAGCCTGTTCCCCCCCCCTCCACACACATAGTGCCTGACGCTTCATAATTGAAACGGATCTGGAATCGGAGGCCTGCCAGACCACCTAAGCTCTTCCGTCAGAGGGGAAGTACGACACGTGTGCTTTATCACAGCGATATGGTTACATTCACGGCCCTGCTGAGCCAGCAGATTGGTAAAACAGTAGCCTATACGTCAATACAAGCTGGATTTATGATCTCTGTTCTCCTCCCCCATCCTCTCCGCCCATCCGTTACTCTCTCCCACCTTTTTACCACGTCCTCTCACCGCGAGCGGACGCCCGCGTCTTTTGAGAGACCATCATTGAGACGTATTGCCCTCGGTGTCCCAGCGATGAATTGCATAGGTCCTTAGACACATTGTGTCGCTGTATGGCTTTAGCTTCATCCTTCTTCTCCCATCCGTGCTCATCACCGGGACGCCACGGAGCGCCGGGGACGACTCGTCTGCTTTAAATCCTCGGCTTCCTGTTCTGTGTCTGTTTGACCTTTCAAAGTCTTCCGTCTTTTTTTTTTTTTTTCTTGTCTGCCGCAGTGCCGAAGGATCCGAACCCGCAGTGGCGGAGGGCGGCGTGGAGCCACGACTGCGCCCTGCTGGCCTACGCCGACAGCACCGGCACCGTGCGCCTCTTCGACCTCACGGGCGGCGAACTCTTCGTCATGCCGCCGGTAACCGCGCCGCTCCCTCCTCTGTGACCTCATCGGATGACCCCACCCCTCCTTTCCCCCTTCACGCTCTCCTCCGTGTCTAAAATGTTTGGTTTGCTCGCGTGCAAATGCTCCTCAGCCTCCTCGAGCATTCCTTGCTTGTCTACCCCTCCCCCCCCCGCCTTCTCCCCCTTCTCCTTAACGGCGTCCGTCTGTCATTCCTCTATCTCTATCCATCACTCCTGCCGCTCCTCTACCCACCGTGTCAGAGGCAACGAGCGCAGGCCCTCCACCCGACTCCCAAGTGGGTGAACTTTGTTCCTTTAGTGCACGTCTGCTTTGTTGTGGATCTACAGTATGTGTGTCTGCACACCCCCGTCTCCCCCCGTTCCCCCTGTTTGTTGCTGTTAAGTGCACACACCGGTGACTTGCTGCTGTCTCTGAAGGAAACAAGGAGAAAAAGGAAAAAAACAAAAACCTGACAGAAAGTATGCCTGTATGATTTGTTTCTACCTTCTCCCCGTCTTTCGTTCACTTCCTGTCTCTTATCTTTTGTTCACTGCCTCCCCTGTCCCGGCATTTTCCTCCTTAATCTTTTTCTCACTGTTTCATGTCCTTTAACACTTGCCGCTGATGTGTAGTGTCTTTCTTGTTAGTCGTGGCGGGGCCACAGACTGATGGATAATTACACGTTTCCATCCACCGCCGGTACTTTTCCCGCTGCCGCTGAACCTGTCTCTTTGTGTCGCTCCAGGCGGTGAGCTTCCCCGGGGATTTCAGCTGCGCCGTGGCGGGCCTGATCTTCCTGGAGTACGCGGTTAGCGCCCAGTGGTCAGCCGAGCTGCTCGTTATCACATGCGGAGGCGGACTCAAGAGTTACCTGGTCAGGTGAGTAAGGAAACCACGTGACTACCACACCAAAAGCACCTTCCTGTTAGTCACAATATCCTAAGAGGAACAAACAACCTGCGACGGTTGCTTCCATCCAGCATTGTTTCCGATTAGAACCCCCACAAAAATATATTGCAATGGTCTGGTTTGTAGAAAAAAAAATCCTGACTCTCTCTTACATCTGCACTGTGATCACCTGAGTCTTCAATTGACATTTCGACGTCCCCTGATGCTCCCTCTTCGACTGACACTATGAGCCCCTTCAGGTCATTCATTCTTTGCCTTTAATCTGTAATTGTGGTTGACTTTAACAGCGCTTCAACTTCAGCTGACACATATTTGATATCATCTTAAAGTTTTCAGTTCTTTGGCTTCATCTAGAATTTAAACCTTTTCAGTATTTAAGCCATTTTAAACCTTTTCAAATGCAAATGATCAGCAGGTACCACGCCGATATCTTTCTTTTGTAGCTGCCCCCTTGTCCCCTAGCTGTAGCTTTTCAAAGTTTCTTTATTACCATTTAATCTAAATGCATGTACTGTACACTGTAACCTTTTAAATGACATTGCAGCCTATTTGTGGTGAAATTGAATGCCCTATGCTTGTCTACATGGACACATTAGTCGGAGGGATGCATACCAATTTCCCTCCTTGCTAATCCCCATGCACATTTTGAATCATTTGATTAATGCCATTGGACTCGCTCCACCCTTTAGTGCGTGCATGAAATCAGCGAGAGTTAGCGTGTGTGGTTTCCTCATGACTGCCCCACAACCTCCCTCTGATAAAGCATTATTTAATACGCCATTATTTCTGAGGTTTCTCATTTCACTCAGTATGATTGCTGCTGTCATTGCGAGGCTCGGTGCACTGACACGCCAACACACAGGATGAAACTGCATGTGTGTGTTGAATCTCGATCCGGCGACATTGTGCACACGGTGTGCTTGGTGGCAATTGCGATCGGAGGAAAGCACGCTTTTGCTTTCCTATTAGAGGCAGATAAATGGTGCTTTTTTGAAGCCATCAGGGTGTCACTGCGTGTGCACATGTGTGAAGAGCTAATTAAGGTTTGGGAGACATTTGCTCCTTTTAGGATTTCCCACTCACTACTCCTCCTCCTCACTCTCTTCCTCCTCATACGGCCGCATTCCAATATTTTCACTCAAACTTTCTATATTAGATTAAATTACAATTTCAGAATTAAAGCTGAGCCATGACAGAAAGTCATCTGTTATTCTTAGCCCCTCTTTCTCTCGCTCTCTTTTGCGCTGCGCCAGCACACACACACGCACACACTGACACACACGCACACACAGACACACACACAACTTACCGAGGCATAAACACCTGACCTTCCAGAGGAAGTTAAACTGTTTGTGCCCTTTCTCTCCCCCCATTCATGTTATTCACCTCCCTTTTCCCTTCTTCTCTGTGCAGTTCACATTGCACTTTTCCCCACTGAGAGACGTCCCACAAATGACATGGCATCTCATCCAGCACCAATCTAATTTAGATTGCCCACTTAAATTAGATTATACATTTTGCCATGTGTCATTTTAATTGCAGCTGAGATTTAAATTGCTCTGTCATCTTCTTTGTCGTACCATTAACATTTTGCACATGGGTGTCCATGTTTTGATTGTTTGTGCGCCGGCATCAAATCATAGGTGACATTGTCCTGCGATTATCTTATCCCTCTCTCAGCGTGGGAACCAATCAGAACTTCCAAGAGAACCACAGCTTCAGTTTCTCTGCACACCACTCTCACGGGATCACCTCGGCTATTTACCACCCTGGCCACCGGTAAGTTAAATCCAACACGTGCTCGAAGAATATAGTTCAAATATTTTGAAAGATTGATATTTCTACTCTTAATCTATCAGTTCAAAAGCTACGGCCGTAGCTTTCACTTGACGCCCTCCGTGAATTCATTTTCTCTTGTGGCCTCCACAGTTCGAGCTTACTTCCGTGGGATGATAAGGATGATGGTACATGATGCCTTGCACATCTTAAATATTTGGATTTAAAAATAGCCATGTGATTGCAAAGGCTTTCATCACTAAAAACCAGCATGTCTACAATATGCTTTGGATTCTAAATATAGAATTTACTGCATTAAAACTTTATGCAAAACCTTTTTTGACCATAAAATAAAGTTTGGTTTACAGAAAGGTTATACAGTTAAAGCACACATTAAGAACACATAATAAAAAATGTAACATCAGTTGATGACAAAAGAAAACAGAAATGCATTTAGACCTTCTGCACGGGCATGAGTTGTTATATTTTGGAATGGGACCATCTCTCTTAATCGGGAATAAATGAACCACAGACTTTAATGCAGAACCCACAGGAATGGAATATGGCCGTCGGCCCTCCTCACCACGCAGCATTGGGAGGTTTCGGCTAACTTTGTCTTGCTCACTTCCGTGACCTTACTGTTTTTCACCACGCTCCCCCGGTCTGCGCAGACCAGATTTAGTTTGGCCGGTGAAGCTTGGTTCGGCAGCTCAATGGATTCTGGCAGCTACTGTCAGTGTTTGCCAACTGATAGATGAGATGAAACTTTAATGATCCCTGTGAGAAAACTGGGTCAGGCTCAGAAAGAAAAGGATAGAGAGAAAAGGCAAGGTGAGGATATGAAAAAATACTTTCAGCCGCCGAAGATGTATGCATAATGAAGGAGATAGAACACGTTCAGGATCAAGGAGGCAGTGCGTTTGAAATAAAGTGGCGCAAAGATGAGATTACAATTATACTCTGACTCAAGTTTCCAGATGTGCAGTTAGGCATTATAATCTTTTCATTATTAGGATCACAGAGTTGGTATACGTCATGTATGAAAAGAATATGCAGATTTGCACCAGGGATGCGAGAAGTCTCCTCGCATCTGATTTAATGAGACCGTATGTATCCCAGTAACCAGTAAAGGTGGCTTTGAGTCATTAGCTGCCATAATAATGCATCGACTATCCTGTTAGTTTATATACTCTTGGCTCTCACCCCTTACTTAATGTCTAAGTTCTCTGCACCAGGGGGCAGTGTTGAGCTGGACATCACTGCTCCATCCACACCTCATCCCCGGGTTCCTGACCGTTGTCGCATCTGTCCTGTTTCACCGCAAACAGAGATCCACAAATCCCTGTAGTCATTGTGGTATTGTTTGTGTTTTCAAACTATTGATTCCAGCCAAACGTTTTACCCTCGTAGGATAACTTTTTTTAAACCAGCTGGATCAGGAGTCTAAATACTAACGAATACCTCGGCTGTAAATCAGGCCGAAGAAAGACATCGCAAGGACCGTCTTAATTCGCTGTCTTTGTTATGCCATGCAAATAGTTTTGTGAAGGGCACAATAATAGAGGTTCTTATCGTGTGTGTGTGTGTGTGTGGGTGTGTGTGTGTGTGTGTGTGTGTGTGCGCGTGCGCGCTTGTCAGATTGCTGCTGGTGGGAGGCTGTGAGTCGGGGGATGACTGTACGTCCAAGGCCTCCTGCTACGGGATCACAGCCTGGAGGGCTCTCTCAGGCTCGCCACACTACAAGCAGGTCACCGGCTATGAGGACGACGTCAGAGCGGTGGGACTACGCGCATGTTCATGCACAAGTTTTTCATGTGTACACACACACTAATTATTGACATTCCCTCTTTGTGTCTTAGAATCAGAAGAGAGGTTTCTTTAAGATCCCGAGCTTCAGATTGTTTTCCAGGCAGGGAGATGAAAAGGTACCGCAGCTCTCTTCTCACCGTCCTCCTCAATAACAATTAACCAATTAAGAGCTCACGCTCTCAAAGAATGTGGCCCAAAAATGTGTGTTTGTGCCCATTTGTGGTGTCCAGGACGGTGTGTTCCGCATGAGCCTGAGCCCCGACGGCACCCTGCTGGCTGTCATCCACTTCTCTGGTCGCCTGTCTCTCTGGGACGTCCCCTCCCTCAAACAGAGGGCCGCATGGAGCCAGGACCAACAGGTGTGTGTGTGTGTGTGTGTGTGTGTGTGGAGCGAAGGATCGGATATTTGCGCGCACATTGAGTGAGGCGGCTTAGAGAGAAGTTATATTTGCAGAATGTTTATGTTGTTCTTCGTCGCTCGGTCTGAGCTGACACACCAACTGTGTGTGTGTGTGTGTGTTCTGTAAGTGTAAACAGGGTTAGCAGATTCATTTCTCACCCCATCTACTTCTTCTCCTCCCTTTCCTCTTATGTCCTTTCATCCTTCCGGTCCTCCCCGCAGCCAGGATTTGAGGAGATCAACCCGGAGTGGAAGACCTCGCTGGAGAGAAGGAAGAAAATAAAAGGTAGTTTATCCCCGTAGGGCCGAATAGAACCGACTTTGTTGCTCACACAGCAGTGCACGCTGGATACAATTTAATGATCTTTCGACATGTCTTATGCTCTGAATTATACAGTCTTTTACACATATAACCGTGCAGCGTCTGCCAAGGCCAAAGAATATCTCCCTCCTTCACAGTTTCCATGCACAGGATTGTGGGTTTTTATGTAGTTGCATCTATACGTATTTGCGGTTTCTTTTTTTTAATATGTGGCTTTACAGTCTTTTTGTTTGACAGTTTTGGGGCAGTCGTGACAGCAGCGACAGCTCGTGTAAGCAATAGCCTACGTGCGTCTACATCGAACGCGTGACAAGTCATGAATACGTCCACAAGTGTAAATATGTCTCCGCGAAGGAAGCCGATTTCCAAAAAGTTAATGAAGAAAAGAGTGCAGGAAAGTTTCAATGCAGATCCGGATTGACTGGTCTAACGTCATCTGTGAAATGTAATTCTCTCCTTCACCTGTCCCAGATAAGGAGCAGTACTACCCGCTGGTGGATGTGAACTGGTGGAGCGACATCGTGTTGATTCTGGCTCGTTGCTCCGGCTCCGTCACCGTGTCCTCCGTCAGGACGCTGCGCAACCTGCTGGGGAAATCCTGTGAATGGTTCGAGCCCTCGCCCCGAGTCACCGCGGCACACGACGGGGGCTTCCTCAGCCTGGAGGTAGATGTGACGACAGCGGAATGTGTGGTCCGGTACACCGAGTCATTTTACAAGAGCACGCGTGACTGTATGGGAGAAGTTTACACATCTTAGATCTTCAGGGCTTTAAAAAGATTATTACAGATTTATTTTTTTCAATAATTTCACAATTTGTTTTTTCGGATCAGGGAGGTGCAGAGCTGAAACGGGTCACCCGTCTGTTTTGGGGATGTCAGTTATTTGTTTTAATTATTAGAGATGTGAAATGAAGTTCTTTTGAGCACACGGTTTCTGATCCTTTGTACTTTTAGCAGATGGGATTCCCCCAAAAGGACAATTTGTTCTTTCAGACCAATACACATTTGATGTTTTAGGATTACCCGAGTTTGAGAATGCTGTAGCGTCGTGTGTGTGTGTGTGCGCACTGGTTCAAAGTGTGTGATGAAATGTATCTCTCTATCTCCTTATTCCACTACAAAGACCATAATGCCTGATCACCCTCCACTTTGATTTCATCCCTCCCCTTTTTCTTTTTTGCCTTGATTGCATTAAGAGACAGAAAAAAAAGATATTTCTTTACCAGCCAACATTTTGGAAAGGTTTCATCAGCCTGCTTCAGCATAGAGAGGGGAGGGGTGTATCCAAAGCTGAAGCTCTGCGTGTGTTAAAGTGACCTTGAGCATGGGGGGGGGGGGGGGCTTTGCCTCCACAGACTGATAATGTGAGCTGTCCTGGATGGTACCGTGTGCCTCATCTGGAGTGGTGTATGAGTGCAGCACTGTGCGAGCAGCCTCGGCTCCTCATTGATTAAGGCAAAACAAGACAAGTTGGAGAAAGTACTACGGACAGCTTTGATTTCGATTTTCTTCCTTTTCTTTTTTTCTTGTTGAGCGAGCAGCTTGACCTTGTGTTGTTTTGTGTTGTGGGCAGCGCGCTGCTCTGGCATGACAGCGTTAAAGTAATTGCGTTTCCCAGCTGAAGCACAGCTAGATGTGAAGTGTGCTGCATGTCATTCCCTGCAGAAGAAGAAGAAGAAGAAGAAGGAGTCCACTCCTGGCACCGGAAAGTCCTTCATGGCGAGGCCTTTAAATCTGCCTCCGTCTCAATTATCGGCAAAATGGGCCTCCTTTGGTTTTGCAGCCCTCGCTTTATGATTTCGGCCATTAACACAGATCTATTTTTATGTACAGAGACAACCGGACAACTTCCCCTCCCGTTCCTAACGCTTTTATTTTCCCGCGCAGTGCGAGGTGAAGCTGGCCCAGAAGCGTGGCCGCCTGGAGAGCAACCTGAGCGGCGAGGACGAGGAGGGGGACGACGGCGGAGACTCTGACTCCGACGAGGAGTCCTCGGCCAAAGCCCGCTACTTCGGCTACATCAAGCAGGGCCTGTACTACGTGACGGAGATGGAGCGCTTCGCCCCGCCGCGCAAGCGCCCCCGCACCGTCATCAAGAACTACCGCCTGGTCAGCCTGAGGTCCACCACGCCAGAGGAGCTGTACCAGAGGAAGGTAGGCTGCTAAATGAGCGCATTAATTCCTTTTTCTTTAAGCACTGAATGGAGTCTTGAAAAGTGCAGTCTCAGATAAAGGGAGAATAATGAGCCCCCGCGGTTCAGCGTTGTCTGTGTTTTTTCTTTTTGCACGGGGACAAGCGTGATTTAGGCCTGTGAAATGTTTCGCAGGGCAAAGTTAACTTTAAAGCACAGCCACTCTGAGTCACCTCTGTGGTCCAGACTGAAATGGACCATCTGATCGATCGCATTCATGCTCCTTACAGGATGAACTGTAATCATCGTCTAGCACCAACATCGGGTCATTCCACATTTCTTTTGAATGACCGATGACCCCTCAGACCTAACGACATTCCCGTCAGCCTTAGCTCTGCATTGTGCGTCGCACTAATTAGAATGTCTTTAGCGTGGTAACGTTTCCTGTGCCCAATTAGAGCCCCGCAGAGCCACCGGCGTCAGCCTCAGGGATTTTAATGAACAGCCTGTTGGTTGGTTGGTTGCTGAGGTGCTCAGCGACATTGTGCAGTAGTCCCATCACAGTGTTCATATTTCATAACTTTAACATCATTGTTATGACCTGTCGGGAAAGGTACTTTTATTTGACAAGTAGGTCCAATAGGATGCGTGATTGGTAGCATGAGGTAGCTTATTTCATTCTGAGTTACTGTTTGCTCACTGATGGGGGGGCCCACACAACAAAAACCGCATGTGCTTATGAGAGAAAGTGCTCGTGCCTTGATGTTGGGATTTGAATGTTCTTTAGCTTAGCAATTCAAACAAGCAATTTCCAGAGCTAATGTGCATTTCTCGGGCTCACACGGTGTTATGAATTCATTTCGGCGAAGAAATTGATATTGCCTATTAAATATTTCAAAGATACTCCATTCCTAATTAAACTACCCCTTTTGTAAGGCCTTTATCACACGCAAAGTGATTCAGCCAGTTGTGACTCACTGTAATGCCATTAATCTTTTTTTTTTTAAGATCAATGGTTGATTGTCTTCAACGGTGGATATCACACTTACCATGAAAGTCTTTGTTTCGTTTGGCAGCTTGATTTAGCGGCAGCTGAAGGACGTCACACGGATCTGTGTGGTCACTGACTGAATTATAACTGGCTGATCTGCAAAATTGGTTTCTGACAAAGTTAACCCGGTGCCAGTCATTTGAAGTGCCATTGTTTTGTTGGCTCAGCTCCAGAATGCTGTTGATGAGAAAAGAAAACCAAGCAAGATGTTCAGTCCGCTTTGAGGCTGTTTCTCAGTCCCGGGGGTTTCTCTGAAATGCTAATTGCCGCATTAGAAATATGGCTGTTGTTGCTCCTCGCTACAAATTGCAGCAAAGACAACAACACGCTCCGTCATGAAGCACAATATCGTCTCTCAGCGGGCCCGCGTTTCAGCGCGCTTCATCAGTCATCTTTATGGCCCGTCATCCGCTTCCTTCTTCATCACTGTCATCATCATTAGATGCCATTAGTCATCGCCATCAATCCCACCAGTGGAGAGTTACAAAGTAATATATCATTATTATCTCTTTGCAACACTTGGTAGCCGGCACAGCACTTCCCCAGCTGCTGCTCGCCTGGCGAAAATGTTTTAGTTTTCGTTCACATGTCGGCGTGTGAGCGTAGAGGAGGAAGGGTGTCGGCATCGTCTTTATGTTTGTGTATGCCTGCGCATGCATATTCAATTCAGCTGTTGCGAGTGTCCGTGCCAGCGTATTGCTTGTGTTGTATTTGAACAGTTTGACATTTCCGCTTTCAAACCCACTCACAGAAATCCAAATGACCCGATCGCTCCTCGGAGATTCACCTCGGCTGAGGTTTATAGTCCCGCTGACTGCGAACGGACCACATTGAGTGATTTCGAGTTATTTCCTTCATGCGTTTAGGAGGGTGATGATGCGTTCGGTGGCGTAACCCTGCCTGCGCGAGTAGCTCACTGGCAGGGCTGCTAACAGTTTTATTAGCTGAATCCAGAGAGAAGCAAGCCGTGTTTTATGTCCTCCTGCGAGAGGTTTAACTGTGTGGGGTTCTTAGTGCCCTCAAGGAACCACAGTCTGGCTAATGTGTCTCTTTATACTCCCACACACAGAAAGAGATGGATAATGTGTGTGTGTGTCTGTGTGCGTGTGTGTGTGTGTGTCAGTGTTCTTGCACGCAATGTGTGGGCCGGTATAAACTGAGATGTTATGATGTTGTTGGATCAAATCATTTTGCGAGACATTGACGGGACACAAAACCTGGTTCAGCAGTATTGTAGAAAAACATCTGAGGCAGGCCAATTTAATAATAATAATGACAAAAGCAACTACTACTGCGGCTACAAAATCAATAAATATGGTAACAAGCAGCTATTCTCTGTGCGGGGATTTGTGTTGTTTGCTAACATTAGCATATACATTATAATCACAAGTGCGTTTATCATGTTAAGCATTTTATCCACCAAAAGTATCCACTACTTTTCTTTATAACCAAATACCTGCTATCAACTTATTTTATTTCTATGTCTGATGCTACTGGGAAACATTTGAGCAAGCGATCGATGCTATAATCAGATCGTATATTGTCAATTGATAGACAAGTCTTCAGTCCAGATACCGATGGCAATACCTGAGTCACCGATTACCGACCCGATGCCAGTGTGAAAGTGACTGGTACCGTTCTCTTATGCAAGCCCCAATATCTGACTCCCTTCAGGTTTTTCCTCCCACTGTCCTTTTGATACTCTTCAAACAGCCCCAAATGAACCGTTCCCCTTGGCTTATCCCTCTGTAGCAGCCCCCGTCCGCGCTGCGTCACATTGCACACCGGCACACAGATTGAACTCTGCACGTCAGAGCCGTTCCCATTCAGCGTCTGAGTATCCAGATTTCGTACTCATAATTTTGGCGCCATAGCTTCATTCGAAATGGTCCGTGCGGGACGGAAACCGGGCCATGAACTTTATTCTTGCTATTTTTTTTTTAGCCTTTTATAAATTCAATCCTTTGTAGATGAAGATTTAATCAGTGGTGTACCCTTGGGATAATATAAAACGTGAAGTACCACACAGAACAGGGAAGGAATCAAACTGATGTGGAAATCTGTTATTCAGCTATAACCCAACCTAAATGTTACATCAGAAAATAAAATAATTTCTTAATTAGAGTTCAAAAAGATGATTCTGTCATATGGCGAATCTGAAAGACTAATTAATGTTCACCTTCACTTCTTTTCTGATAGATCATGCCGTCATAATGTGTTGATTGTGTGCGTTTTTGTTGATCCCACAGATAGACAACGAGGAGTACGGTGAAGCCTTGTCTCTGGCTCAAGCGTACAATCTGGATTCTGACCTGGTCTACCAGAGGCAGTGGAGGAAGAGTACCGTCAGCATCGCATCCATACAAGATTATCTGGTAAGAGACACAAGACATTAGGATGGATACATGTCAGGAAAGGAGGAGGAATGGATCCAAACTGGCATTTATCACAGTATATTAGATGCCTGGTAGGAAATGTACTGTATGTGTGTGTTGGCAAGTAGGGGGAATCACACACAGCCCACTTGCTCTTATTTCACGCATAATTTTTCCCAATTTGTTGCAAATTTTCACACCATATCCTCCAAATTCTCCATCTCATTTCGTCCCGCCACTTCTTCCGAAATCATTCCTTCTCCTTGCGTTGCCCGCATCCCACACAGAGCAAGATCTGCAAGCGCTCTTGGGTGCTGCACGAGTGCGTGGAGCGGGTCCCCGAGAACGTCGACGCGACCAAAGAGCTGCTGCAGTACGGCCTGAAGGGAACCGACCTGGAGGCCCTCATAGCGATAGGAAACAGGGAAGACGGCGGCAGGTGGGCGCGTGCACCAACGCAAATCCTTGTACCGAAGTTTGTTTTTGCTGAGGCTCATCCCGCAGTTTAGCTACAGCCTGCGTCATTTCCTCGCCACCGCCCAGGTTCATCATGCCAGGTGACGTCGACCTTGATGACATTTCGTACGAAGACATCCTGCTTGACGACGAGGAGCTGGACGAGAAGAAGGAACGTGACAGCAGGAAGAGAGGAGAGCTGTTGGCCAGGGTCGACTTCAGCAGGTACACAATTAGTGGGACAGTTGCTTAGTCAGCTTTGTTATGCAGTCAGACGGCAGACAAAAAGAGACGGTCCCAACAGGCAGAGATGCTGACAGTGGTCTGAATTTCTAGTGACTTGAGTATTTATTTGAGTAAAATGAGGCCGGCTGGCCACATTTCAGCAGGAGGACCCCAGCTCGGTCGGCAAGCGTCTTCCTGAACAAAGACATGATTTCATACGCATTATTTTATGGTACTTTTAAAAAAAAAAAAAGTAAGGCAAGTTAATGGCTTTTATAGTAGTGAATGACGGTTACTAGTCGATCGTATTCATTTGTAACTTTTCAGTTGGTCTACTATTGTGGTCCAAACTGAATAGTATCACCTGCTTTTGGATCGATCATCTTAAAATTTTAGACATTCATGGAGAATGAAGCATATTGACCTTTTCATCCCCTCACTGCTGCGTTTTCCAAGTTAAATATCTTGACATACGCTTATTTACAATGACATTTTCTACTAATATTCTTTAAACAAATTGGGGAAAAATTGAAATTGAAGCTGTTTTTTCTCTAACAGGGAAATGAATACAGTCTAAATACAAATCTGTAAACAAATTGCACAGCTTTTTTGCCAAACAGCTTCCCGTTGCTCTTGTGCTAATTCAGTGTAATTGCAATTTGCATACATTCACGACCAAAACGGGCCCCTTTCTATGCAAATGAACCTCAATTGAAGACCAATCCAATTCACAAGGATTGATGCTAATTGGAGAGTTGGTGGTAACTTTACTGCATCCTCAATGATGTACCATCATCACTGACAGACTGGAATATGGTTCCTCTCGGTCGGTCAGGACCTGTAGCTCGCGGCCATCCGGTAATTTATGGGCACGTTGGCGCTGTAAAATTATTTTCCACAATATGTTTCGCCGGTCAGGCCGATAAGACGTGACGCAACATTCATTGGCCCCGTATGCAACCGCAATCCCTTTTCTGTGAATTTGCAAATTAGTCTCGCCACCTAAATTGGCAGAAGCTTTTTTTGTATAATTTTCACTTTAAAGCCATAACAGTTGTTAGGTGGGTGGTAAAATCGAACCGAGGGAAAACTGACGCCGCCAATCCGGCAGGTTTCCTCCTACTGTTTACACCGCTCAAACTCAGCCATCATTATGCACGGCATGAGCTATAAGGACGAGGGTAGCCCGCCGCTCCGCTGGAATCCAAAGCAAAGCAGTGATTGTTGTGACGGTATATGAAGCGTCGACGAGGACACAGTATGGAAAGGGGCGAGAGGTCTGCCAAATTGAACGCCGATTGTTTTGACGAGGTCGCGCGGCGGAGAGAGGGGATCACGGAGGCCGGGACATTAATGAGGATGAGGGAGCGAGAGGGAGGGAGCGCTGGTAGAGATTAGTGGGTAATCTGCTGGAGGTAATTAATGCCTTTTGTTGTTGAGTGCCCGGGGAAAAGACTAATGAAAAACCCTTTAGTGATCACCAATCACCCCTCATACACACACACACACACACACACACACGCACTTACATGCAAATAAGCATACCCATGTATCATCAAACACTCTTAAGCTTAATTTGATTTCATACACCTGTTACACAATTAACATGTCAACACAAAGAACCCCATGAAGCACACCCACCGTGTTTGTGCGAGCGTTGTGCGTACAGGTGTTTAAGCTGCAGCGGCGGGGTCGTGCCCGCTTCTAGCGTCGCCCTCACCCCGGACGCTTAACGGGTGAGCCTTGGGTGTGTATCTGAATGAAGCCGAGCAGAAACTCGGTAATATCTGCCCCTCGGCTCACTGCCTGATTTCCTTTTGTGTGTTTGATTTTCTTTGTGTTCGGCTCATTGTGCCTGAAACAGTTTATCTTTAATGCGGGAGCCGTAGACGGCGGCAGATGGAGAAGATGGAGGGTTGTTCAAAAGAAAGTGCAGGGGCTAAAGCAAAGCATTAATACACAAACGTAAAAGAAAGCCGTTACGTTAGATCGTCAGTAAATCGCCCTCTTAAAAAAAAAAAAAAACACACACAGATCTTTTAGGTCTCTTTTGTTTGTGTGCCTCGCAATTTCTTTACACACAGGCATAAATACATGTGCATACATGTGTGTGCGTTCGGGTGCCGCGATGCCCCACTGACACTTCCTGAGTTGCCTTGAGGGCTGCGGCCGAGGTCTGACGGATAATAACTCTCTTAATTTCTTTTTAACTACACCACCATTACAGAGAAGGCTCGGTATCGATCACCGCCGCTCTGTGGGAGATGCTCTTGTGTGTAGATAAGGACTGTACTTAACCACTGACTGTCACGCAGACCTTGTTTGTGTGTGTGTGTGCGCGTGTGTGCGCGTGTGTGCTTTAATTCATCTTAACCAGTAACCCCCCCATCACAATGAAATTAAGTGGGATTATTTTTAACCCCCGGGCTAAAAAAACCAAACAAAATACTTAAAGTAAGTCGTGAAGATCGCAGTGACGTTTCATTTTCAATTCATCACAGTCAAACCGCTCGATCGATTTTTACTATAAAAAAGGATGGAAGGTGCTCATTTGCCTTCCAGGATACACACATTTTGGTTTAAAGACCCACTAGTATGATAGATGTTAATGCACTTCTCCAGCCTCTCGTGTTACTATCCGCTTTAGCCCCATCGGCATTGCATTCCCTTATCCTGAAATGTAATGTCGCATGAGATACAGGCTTCCTCAGGTTATTGGTTATTGCTCCACATTCTTAACTGTCATGCTCCATTCTTTTTTAAAACAATATTGTTTGCAGACAGTTTTATCTTTTAGCCCTTTTTCTGTATGCATAATAAAGTATCATTCAGAATCTGCCACGGGCCATTATATCTGCTGCTCTGACTCTCTGCAACAGCAACGAGACGGACAATACTGCAGCACTAGTGTTGTGTGTTTGTGTGGGGAGGGGAGGGGGGAGGGGGGGGGGAGTTGTGAGGGTGAGAATTTATGCAGTCTGCTGCAAGGTGTTTATGTTCTTATCTGATCCGATTCAGACCTCAATCAGAAGTCTCGTTTTCTCATTTGCTCCGGCATTGGTTGTGCGCTTGTGTGTGTCTGCGTGTGTGCCTGCATACATGCGCCCGTTTATGCTTTTTCTGCGGCATCCATGTGCATGTGAAGACATGAGCCGAAGTGTTTTGTCTGTTTATGCAGTCCAATTTTGTCCATCACTGTGTGATAATCGCTTTTATCACATGCCGCATTTCTCTGTGTGAGCGAGTGTGTGTGTGTGTGTGTGTGTGTGTTTATGTGGTTCAATCTCCGTCCAGACCAGCACATCCAGAGTGTTGTACAAAGATGGAGGGCGATGCCATCTGATTTTAATAACCTGCCGAACTGATAGCTTCAGAATGTGAGACACACCCGCAAACACCTTGGTGTAGTCAGGGCCCAGTCTCTTCATATTAGAAGGCGTGTGTGATGACGTGTAACGGTCTTAAGCGCAGTTTGAGTTGAATCCCCTACATCTCTGTTCTGTCGCAGTGTTTGTGTTCCCTCGCGGCCCCCTTCTCTCCACCACCTTTTTCCCCTCGAGTCGACTGGTTATCCAAGAGGGCGAATCAGGGACATCTCTGCAAACCTCTGCAAAGCCCCCCTGCAGGTCGCCCATTTGCATGTGCACCGGCGTGCTAAACGCCGTTTATGTTGGTGGAATTCGGCAGTGGGACCAGCGATTTGAGAAGAAGTAAACGAATGCCTGAATTAAACATCGGGGCTAACCATTAGCCGTCAGTGTGCGTCTGTGAAGTGCACTTGTAGAAAAGGTTTCAGGCATTTTTAATCAATGACTGATGTTAAATCCCTGACCAGTAATTTGGATGAGAGTCAGATACTTAGTTAGGCAGAGTCTTCGACGCATTCATGGTTCAAAGTGCACTTGATTTTACGTTTTGGATTTAATGAAAAGGGTTTTCAAAACTTGAGGATGAGAGATTAGTTTTTCTTTTTCTTTTTTCTGCGCTGAAATGATTGAGCCGTCATTTAAACTCCCAAGAGGACAACAGACCGGCTAAACTAGCTTTTTAACATTCCCTCTCAGCGCCCCCCCCCCACCCTTTTTTCTTTTCACATTTACTCTGAAGAGGCAGAGCAAAGCAATAATTACCACTGGTACGAGTGCTAAGCCGCCCCTCTTTGATGTGCCGGAGAGAGAGCTGGTTGAGCCGGTGTTAATCTCTGTTAGTCTGTGTAGAGGAACCCCGATAAGGCCTGATAGCGCACTCTGTAATGAGGGATTAGGGATTAAGACGGCGGCGGAGGGGTCAGCTCTCCTGTGGTCCCACTGCGGTTGATCCGGGGCGAGCTTTTAGGGAGCTCCGGGCGCGGCTCCACCGGGGCTCCGCTGTGTCCTTCTGGATCGCGCTTGGGAGGGAGAAAATGGCTTCAATTTAACCGGCCGGCTCTCAGCCTCGCGGCCCCCACCCCCACCTTTTCCCTCGGGGGGGGGGGGGGGGGGGGGGGTACCCCCGGGGGAGAAATTTTCCCTGGAAACTTTATACCCTTTTTGGGTTTGCGAGCACCCAAATATATTAAGCGCGTGTAATAACGACATTAAAAATGGTATTTGGCCTCGCGGGGCGCACATTCGCTCACCTCATTGACAAACAGCGCCCCATACATCACAACCGAAGGGTTCTTGTGGTCATAAGGGGGTTGATTTGTTGCCCTTAAAAAATGATTAGGTCTTGAGGGCTCTGTGTGGTATTGTACTCATCGGTCCCAGGCATCGTTACGCGAGTCCCTGCGGCTTCGTCCCGCGTGGGGTCAATTCGCACTTCATTAAGAGCTACAGCACGTGTTGGCTATCCAGATGTTGTCATTTGGGTTTTGGATGTTACAGGGGATGTTGACGTGTGAATGTGTGCTTTTTGTGTGTGTGCGCGCATGCTCAGGCTGACTCTGGAGCAGAAGGAGCTGTGTCGGAGCCGACTGAAGCTGCTCTCCTACCTGAAACGTCTGGAAACCTACGAGGTAACAACGATCGGCCGCCACTCATCCGGCACCATCGATCTGCCCGACGGAAATCCTCTCCTCACACTACGTGGGGTCATTCTGAGATATCGCAAAGCGCCACAGTTACAAAAAGACCATTTGATTAAGGCTGTGAAGATTTTCTTTTTGGGACTAATCTCATTTGATTGTTTGTCTATGAATGGCAGCAAATCGTGATACAGTTCACAGTCTCTTTATTAACACAAAACATGCTCAAACGACAGATAATCCAAATGTCTTCCCTCCAATGTCAATTAAATGTGTCTTTAATCTACTTATTATTTAATCCCCTGATTTAGCAACCAAAAGCAACCATAAACTAGGCAAATGTAAAAAACCCTCAGCTTGACACCCTGTTGTCCAAACTGCAGCTCCAATGCGTGTCCTCACTGCAGTTACATGGATGGAGGAAGACTCAAAGCCTGGGAACAGGTTTTGGGTTACAGTTATGCTCATAGAGTGAAAAGTCGCGATTGCGCATGTTAGCGGCTTTTCCGACACTTGAAATTGCGTTGCCTGTTTTGGAAAAGATACAAACGCCATGTTAATGCTTTTGTCAAACATTCTTCCTCGCTCTGTTGTTTTCCCGTCAGCAACCTAATGTGTTCTCCTTTCACATCCAATCCCACCAAAGCCCACAGGCTTCTCTATTAATACTCTCTCTTAACCCCACTAATCTCCTCAGAAATATTACAAAGTTGGGGAAGATATTTACGTGATGGGCCTTTTGAAGTATGTAAATTAAAGAGTGGAGGTAACCAGCCGAGAGACAAATCTGATATTAAAGAAATAACAGTTGTTCTCTGATAATTGGCCTACAGTACATAAGCACAGAGTGCTGCAAAGACAGATGGATTCTTCAAGTTGAACTTTGACACCTGCAACCACTTACCCTTCAGAGTTACCGTGATTAATATTAAGACGAATGCCCTTTTCATGCACAATAAGAACAGGGCGGCACTTTCTCCCGTGCAGGAGAGTTGAGACCAGGTTTTACCCTGGCTACATATTCAAGTCAGACATAATGGCGTCTCTCTCTTTACACGGACATTGTCATGGTAACTGCAGTACTCGTCTGATTCCTTTTGCCCCCAATCCTTTTTCTCTGGCTGTCTGTGAATATGACATTGGGGTTTTCATCATTCCGACTTGGGCTGGATCTCGTTCTGCATACAGCTCATTCAAAGGCTATCCATCGGACACACACACACACACACACACACACACACACACACACGCACGCAGACACGCACACACCCTCACAGCGAGGAGGCTACAGAGATTTTATAGACACAAACATCCCTCTCAGCCAAAGGCCAGCACAAGAAATGTTCCCTTTCGTCTCTCATACTTTCCTCAGATGGTTTCAGCTGAAAGGGAAATACAGCCGTGTGCTGGAAAGTTAAACAGCATTTCTGTTGATTTACCCCCCCCCCCCTCCTCCCCCTCCCCACCCTTTCATCTTTAGTGCAACTTTCCTCTCAAATGTCTTTCTATGATACCCATTTGTAATGCTCACCCCCCCCCCCCCTCTCTCTCTCTCTCTTGCTCTTCCTCTGGTTCACACTCTCCAGGAGATTCTTGGTGGGCCTCACGCAGCGGAGCAGAAATACGATGCAGAGTTCTTCAAGAAGTTCCGCAGCCAAAATATTGTTTTATCAGCAAGAAACTACGCCAGGGTAACATAAGGCTCTTTTCTTGTAATGCCTTGCCAATAATCTCACTTAATTTGGTTGTTTTAGTTGTCTGCATCCCCCCTGGCATCGATGTGAAATACGCTCACAAAAGAAATGCAATAACAGTCTCGCAATAACTCAGGTTGGGAAGGTGGGATTTATTGCAGGATTGTTGGATCCGACTGCATTAGTTTGATTTAAGTACTAAACTTGCACCTGTGCGAATGTCTTTGCATTTTCTATCGAAGGCTTTTTTTTCTGTTCCAGTTGATCATATTAAAATTGGTTTAGCAAATGATGAGAGTCATAATCACAATCCATTTTGAGGCTTTTTCTTTTAGTAGTTTATTCACATGTTTATAAATTCACAATTTTAAAACAACGTCATAGAAAGGTTTCATTTGTAGGATCATGCATTTTTTCCACCTACAGGAGAGCAACGTGCAGGCGCTGGACATCCTGTTCACGTACCACGGAGCCGAGCTCCTCCAGCATCGGCTCGCTATCCTCCACAACTTCCCAGAAACCACCTCTCCTCACGAGTACACCACCCTGCTGCCGGAAGCCTGGTGAGACGCACACAAACGCACACGCATCAAGAGCTGCGTCAGTTCAGACACTAACACTACTACTGGGATTGAAGATTACCGTACCCTTTTTAAAAAAAATCATTTATTTACTCCAGTTTTTCAAAGCAAAAGTGCTGTTCCTGTTTGTCTGTTAGAAAGGAAATTCACTTTAATTTAACATTGTTATTTGAATTTCCCCCTGTGTGTTTACAATCAGGAATTAGGAATCAGGAATCAGAAAATATTTATTGCCAAAATATGTCAAACATACAAGGAATTTGTCTTGGCGGTTGGTGCATGACAGACAGTGTAACAATAGACAACAGGACAGCAGTGCACAAGTAATAAAATAAAGTAAAATAAATGCTAGTGCAATGGGTTAGTAAAAAAAAAGAAAAAAAAGAATAAGGCTATGGGTTAGTATAAAACAAGGGAATAAAGTTAAAAATTTGAAATATTAAAAAAGTTTAAGGGTGGGTGAAGATTTATGTTTGAATTCCAAAGAAGCATCATTTAAGTAACATGTAAAGATAATTTATAAATCTGCGTAACTAAAAAACTTACTTTTTGCTTTTGGCTATTTTCTAATTCCCATTTTTTAAAACAATTCACTTTTCAAACATGGCACTGGCGCTGTTAAAAAAAACATGCATTACCTCAGGGAAACGCACCCCCTCCGAGGTCTGAAAATCAACATTCATAGCTTTCTGGAATACACAAGTGGCGCGTCTCGCTACATTTCAAATTAAAATCACCTAAATGTGGAATCACACTTCTGTCAGATCGTGCACTCGCAGGTCTTTTTCTCTCCGTCACACCGCTAGAAGCTTTCTTCCAAGTGAACACACATAGCTTAAGGGCTCAGCCGCAAATACAGCGGTGACATAAAAGGGTAGAGAGACGATTCTAAATTTACATGAAAACAACGCTTAATACTTAAAAATGCTTGTGGTTGTATCGTTCTAGTTTTTAACTTTTTGCTCTGGGATCGGAGAGGAGAAGATATGTGAGGAGTAGGTGATGGAGGAGCGCTTCATCCCTCACCTGTACAGTTCACTCATAGAGGGGACAGACTGATGCGTGCAGCCGGCCATCCATTTCAGCCTCTTCGTTTCCTCCAACTTGTTATTTCCACTTTGCTCGTCTCCCTCGCCCCTTCTCCCCTCTTCCTCCATGCTCGACTATTCCTACACGCCCTGTGCCAATATTTAACTTATTCATACACCACATATACATCTCTGTCAGGAAGCACATGAATACAAGACTCCCCTGAAGCTTAGTGAAACAAAAACATAAATGTATTAACATTTGTATTCTTAGGACGTTGCAGCCACACACACACACACACATTGCACTCCTCCATTAGACGTGTCGGATGTTTGTATGGAGGTCAGGTGGTTGTGGCTCTGCAGTGAGCATCCATCACGGCTCTGCCGCTGTGGGGCAGTTTCCTATTTTCCCCCGGCCTGTGTGCACCGACCGCTCCTCCCGACAGCGCGTCGCTCCTCCACTGCGGCAGAGGCGGAGGCCATCTGTTCGGAGCGGGAGGAAAGGGAAAAAATATTCTCCTGTATGCGAGGGGTACGACGTGCGCGGAAGAATGCAGAAACAGCGCTGTTTAGTTGAAAAACTTTGCCCCGAGCCTGAGAGAGTGTCGGCCCGGGGGGAAATAAAGATAAACCAAAGCACCGGCTCCAGATTTGCTTTGCATCTCCATCGTCCTCCGCGGCCCCGCCTCCTCGCCTCGCTCCGGCAGACGTGAAGTAGATCAGGGGGAGCGAGTGCGGAATAATTCATTCTCCATCGATATCCGAGCGCACCCAATATTTACTCTCCACCCTCTAACCCGGGCTGTCGGTAATGAGGAAAGAGGGCCGGTGGGGTAGGGGAACGACGGGGAGGAGGGAGGTGGAGGTTCTCTTGCTGGGGGGCCTTTTTAGAGGGCGAACCGGGCCCTCGCTGTTAAAACTCCCAATCTGAGTAGATTTACCTGTTTTGTGAGTGTTGGTGAAGAAAACCTCTTCCTTCTTGCGCGCGTTGACATCAATCACCCCCCCCCCCTCCCCCGCTGCTCGGACACGTGTTGTTGTGTTATTTTTTTTGTGGTTGGATGGAATTTATGGACTCGTTAAATGACGGCAGCAGCCTCCCGTGCGCTCGGCCTTTAACTGCACCAAAGCTACGCATGATTTGTAGCTACTTGAGTTTTTACATCCAACGTGCATATTTTTCCATCTGCAGAAAAAACGGATAACCAGAAGAAACGCATTAATCCGAGAACAAGACGGCTTCTGCTCGTCTCCCGGCGTCCCGGTGCGAGGGTCCGCGTCCGGGGCGCCCGTCTCCCAGTTCTGAGCGCCTTTGGCGCTGACGCGCGAGGTTACCGAGTCGTTCTTCACTTCGGTTTTCTTTTTCTCTGTGTTCCTCATTTATCTTCCTCAGACCTGTCGCACTCAAGGATACACGGGGAAGAAGTAAAGCTGAGCTCCAACATGGCGTTTGGAAAAAATAAAAGTCCAGACTGTTTACAACCCCGGGCACGACTCGCAGTCATTCCGAAAGTTCTTTGAATTGTTTATCGCTGTGCTTTTTGTTCTGTTATTTCCTCGCCGGTCCTCTCCCCATTATGCTCCGCTGTTCCCATTTCCCGTAACTTGCTCCTGTCGCCACAGTTTCCCTGTAATTTATGGCCACGTTTGGTTTGAGACAGTAAATGTCTTTGCTGATTTACCAGGTGCCATTATAGGTTGGGGGGGGCGTGTTTGGTCTTTTTGACTCCTGGCTAGCCGCTGGTCGTTGTTGGGGTATTTGTTCCAGAGTAAGCTGCTTTTCCCTAAAACCCTTCTTCTGATTTAGTATCTCCTCTTCCATTCCTCTCTCCGGCCTCTTTGCCTCTTTTTGACTTATTGTTCTGTACTTTTTTTTTCTTTTATCCTCAGCATGGATGACGGAGGCGAGCTGGTGCTGATTCCATGGGACGAGCAGAGACACAGAGAGATGGACTGGTGCGAGGCGGAGGAGTGCAGGTAACCTGAAGCCCCCCCCCCCCCGCGGGAGAGAAGCGCTGACCTCATCGCGTTGTTCACCTGGCGTCCCGGATAATCCAACACTTTAAATCCCCTGATCCAATTGCAAAAATGCTCCCTACCCCAAGGGAGCAAAGCGGAGAATTGTTAAAAATCATGTTTCATACCGGCCAGATGCTCGTGCTGGCATCGTTATGTGAAACGAAACATGACATCCTCTTGTCTAAACGTGAAACGGAACCACAACAAACTAACACAGAATCTTGTTGAGCAGCCAATTTATGCCATTCGCTGGCTGCGTTCGGGAGGCCAGCTTCATTTACAATTTCATTTAGCAAGCTTTAAAAAAAAAAAAAATGTTTTATTGCTCTTTTGTGTCGAGCCATAACACCAGTCGGCTGTTGTGGCGCGCTCGGCCCTGAGTGAAAGTTTGATACTGTGATGTGTGATACCAGCGACGTTTACGACGCCCACACATCCTTTTTTTGCCGTATTCTATCCTCTGCTGCGCTTTTTTCCCTTCAAAAAATGATGGGGGTTATCCTTTTTCGATAAGGGTTATAGTTTTTTGGGATTATTTGTCGTATTTTCACAATTCTCACGAGAACAATAAAATCATCTCTGCCTCTGAATTCTCTCCGCCTTCCCTGTCCTGTTGGCTCTCCCCCCCGAGCCCATCGGCATCAATATGTTACTCGCATTACTTAAACGCAAATGTATGGACAGTAAATGTGGGATAAAGTACAATGTTCACGCCGGCCGACATCTCCCCTTTCCAGCAGTTGTTTTATCATCTCTATTTCCTTCCTCAGGGCAATGCTGGACCAGAACCTGTTTGAGGACGACGGTTTCCTGTACGAGGGCGCTCCAGAGCTGAAGAGGTTCCGCACGGCCTCGCCCTCCATCGAGCTACTGACCGACTGGTACCAGAGCCGAGCCAAGGACATTGACTCCTGCTCCAGACAGGTAGCAGCACTCCGTCTTGTTTTAGCGAAAAAAGAAAGCAAGCAAGAGTCAGACTGCGGATTCAAAGACTCTCCACTCAAGCAGTTTCTTGGCTTTCAATGAATCGCACTTAGCATTAAGGTGACGAATTTTCACACCACGCAAAGATTCCTTTTCAGGTTCCCTCCTCCTTGATAATTGCCGCCGCGCATCGCTCTCTTACACCGTCACGGCAGAAATAAGTGACGAGCTTGCATTCAGGCTGCGGAAGAGATGTCGCCAACCCCCATCAGTCAAGGTCACTTTGATCCCATCCGTGACGGTCATTATCACACGTGCCAGATGGACTTCTAATGAAGAGTTCCCGAAGCTGCTGTCATCCGCGTTCTCCCGCTGCAATGGAAAAAACAGGACTCGATAGGACTTGTTTAGTGGAGTAATGGGACGTAGCCGCTGGAGCTGCCCACTCTTTCCACCCACACCCTCCACATGGCAGCTCTGTCCCCTCTCTAGCTCCTTCACAGTGATGGATCAAGGGTTGCCACGGCGCTTGTCTTTGTCTTTGTGAAAGGACTAACTAGGGTGCCGTCATATCTTTCCCCCTCATTTCTCCGTTTCATCCTTTTTCGCTGGGTGTAAGGAGGGCGGTCGACAGGGGGATTTGGGAGTCCATTGCTCATATTTTGAAGACAGTGGGGGGGACTTATGCCTTTCATCATCCACTCCTTTGGAAAGAAAAAGAGACTGATCGGGTGTTGGTTTATCTCTTCAGAAATCACACCATCTCTTTCATTTCTTCACTTGTTCCTTTTCAATTTGACCTTATCTCCTTTTTTTCCCCCCTCTGACACATTACTCCATCGGCCTCTTGGGAGCGCCCCAAACTCTGTCAACGGAGGGTGACATTGGAGCAGCTCTGCTGCCATTTGCTCAGTGTTTTTCCCCTCCTTCCTGCCCTCTTTACTTTTTCATCTCATTTGTTCCCTCTTGTTTGCAAGAAGAGCCCCGCCGATTCCTCATCTGGCCGCGTTTATGCTTGGAAGAGCGTTTTAATGGATGGAAATGGGGTTTGATTAAAAGGAGCCACATCAGAGGAAGTTGGAGTGTTTTAAATACAGTCGCAGAGCGACGAGTAGAAAGGCGCTGAATGGGAAGATTGACGAGATGATTCAGTGGCAGAGAGAGCGAGCGAGACAGAGATAGACTGAGAGAGACTGTGAGATGGGTTTGAAAAAGCAGAGAATGGAACCACAACCAGAGGAGAAAAACAGGGCTAATTGCTCGGGCAATCTGACATCCCATGTTTTGTTAGAGTGTATTACATACACAAAAAGGGGGTGGGGGGGGGACTGGATGGTAAGGTAAAAGGGAAAAGTAATCTCATGCTCTGGCCATGAGACAACAAAAATGACCTGTGTGAAAGGGACCAAATAAAGGATATTAAAGACGGGCGTTGTTTGAAACACGGTTGGTACCGAAATGACCCAAAAGGACAGAGTGGAGAGACGGGCAAACACAGACGGCAAAGGGGCCAGATGTGGAGTTCAAATGGAGGCCAGTCGGGGTGACTGAGGAGAAAATGATGTTTGAGAGAAAAGGGCAGATATAGGACGGGCAGGGCAGACCAACAGGGACAAAAACTGAAGAGACCGAGGACACAAGTTGCGTTACAAAGCGCTGAGAATGGTGAGGGCCTGAGCCTGGAGATGAGGTTGTAATTAAAAAGTGTGGTATTCTCACATCTGAATTGTCTGTGGTTTGCTGGCGATCTCTCTCAGGAGGGCAGAGGAGGAGGAAGAGGAGGAGGAGGAGGAGCAGCATCTTTACTCACAGTTAGATCAATATACTTCTCTCTCTTGTTGTATCTAATTGCTCAGACTCTGACTCCAGGTGATTTGGGTTCTCTCTCCTCCTGTGCCTGTGTGCCTTTTCCCCCGAGTGAAGGCGCACGATTATTAATCCAATGTGTGTGTGTGTGTGTGTGTGTGTGTGTGTGTGTGTGTGTGTGTGTGTGTGTGTGTGTGTGTGTGTGTGTGTGTGTGTGTGTGTGTGTGTGTGTGTGTGCATGCGTTCATGTGCTGAGGGTCAAGCTAGAAGCTGCACTAACCGCTGTGCTGGAGGGCTTTTCCTGATCTAAAAGGTGGGCAGAAAGCAATCATCGCTACAGGGCCCGGCGGCATCTGCTATTGATTGGCCAGCATCCACAGGTGGCCGAGGATCGATTGGCTTCCCGCCGTATGGGTGCTAGCATATCGACCGGTTGCTCTTCTGGAGGGAATTTTATTGACCCAGAGTCGCAGTAAGCCCAATTCTTCCCCGTTTTATTGTCCAAGACTAATGATTGGATATTAGTAATGACTGACTGGTATTATTTCATCCCGGATTAGTTGGGATGTTGTTGTTTTTGTTCGCGTCCCAGTTCAGCGACCTCAGCAACCGTTTTTCAATGACATGGCAACACGCTCCAAACTGTCTTTATTTGCCCGCTGCACACGTTACTTTGACCGGGCTAACTGGATTTTAACAGGCCTGGGAAATGGATAGCACGAAATACGAGTAGCTGTAAATAGAAACTCCCATTTCGGAGTTGGCTTTGAATTTCAAAGGGATTGTTTCATCACGCTGCAGGACCACTGTTTATTGAATGTGACCACCAAAGAAAAAGGAGGTGCACTGCAGGGTCAGTACGGAGTCCTAGACACACAGAGTACATTTATACAATGGATGCTTCAATATTGACCTATTAGAGTAAATACTAAATAAAAGTTCAGCAACAAAACACACTAAAAAGTAAGTACATGGTGTTATTAGGTGCATGGTGGTTTCTCTTAGTAGAAAACAATTTATAAGAAAAGAAGAATTGTGCAAATTATGTAGATGCTGCACACTAACTGTTTAGTTAGTTTTTCTTTGTCCTCCCTCATTTGCTTTTCTTTGTCTCTATCAGGTGGACTGTGCCCTGTCGCTGGTGCGTCTGGCGAAGGAGCGGAAGATCCCGGGGCTGGAGCTCTTGTCCGCCGACTTGGTCACCATGGAAACACTCGTGTATGAGACATCATGTGAATTGAGTCTGACACTTAAAGATTTGCAGCAGCTGAGAGACATTGACAAGCTCCACCTGCTAATGAAAAATGTAAGTGGCCTCTTTCACGTTTCACATTCTCGCTAGACAGATTTTTTCCCCCATAATTTGTGTTCTTTCTAGCGTGACATTAATGATTTAAGTCTGATTGAATCGTTTTCACTTGGTATGTGCTGATGTAGCGTTATCTGTCTGGGTTATATAGGCACGAAAGATACATTATAAAAACATTAACTGAACTTATCTATTGGATCCAAACAGGACAGACATGGAGATCTAATTATTAGACTTTTTATTCTTCACATTTATTCAAAACCCAATTTGTCTAACGTATTTCCACAGTATTCACTAAACTCTTAATTGAGATTTCACCATCTATTTTTTTTTTTTACAATGCAGTCTGTCAATCCCAATATTTCTTTGTGTGATAAGTGCATTTTCCAACATGCTGCTTTGTCTAGCTGGCAGAGTGTGGATCATTTGTTGTCAGCGAAGAAATAGGAATAAATAAATAAATAAAAATAAAATCCATTTCCCTGAAATTACTTTTCACTTTGGTGTCCCTTGATGCGGAATCTGTAATCATTCACTCAAGTTGAAAAGAATATGATGTACGCTAATTGAACCTTGAATAGGCAACGAGTGGAATTGAAGTTGTGCGTAATGTAAAAATGTTATTATTAACCATCTCACTGTGAATCCGTTGTTTTAACCTCTGAAATCTCTGACAGTGGACAACACAAACTGCATCCAACCTCAGGGGGAGAGCTATGAAAACGAGCGTGTAGTAGCTACTACAGTCACAAGTCCCCTTGGAGGACATAATATGAGCTGTGCTCTAAATTGTAGCTAATAACTGCCGGCTCTAGCCGGTGAGGACCACTGCCAGTAGGATCTTCCATACAGGCAGGCAGCCAGTGAATGTAGTTGACACATGCTGTTCGCCGGCTACTCCCTTTGGGCGCTGTGTGTGTGTGTGTCCGTGACTTTGAGTGTCCACCACATCTTCCTAGATTAAATGCCTGCGTCTGATGTATTTATTTATGGACGTACGCGCCAGCATTTACCATCTGACTGTTTCTCAAATCAATGGTTTTCTTGTGCAGTCCCTCTTATTGGTGTATCCTGAGCGTGAGCTGTCACAGGGTGGGTGCGGGGTCCTACACAAACTCCACATGCATCTGCAGAAATCTCAACACCCACACGCTGACGCATTTATAGTTCATCTTCCGGTTTAATTGCAATGCACAACTTTGATGGAATGGAAAGGCAGTCTTAGGTTCTTTTAAACACTTTAATGTTTTTCTGTCAACAGTCCACCCCCGAGCGCTACGTCAAAGACGCCACCCAGTGGATGGTGCCATTCCTGCACCGATGCGAGGGGCAGAAAGAGGGCGCGGCTAAGTCCCTGCTCAGAGAGTACCTGGTCAGCCTGGCCGAGCAAGACCTCACCCTGCCCTTCATCATCTTCCAGCACTCCAAACCCGACGCAAGTATCCCAAACAAACACACACACACACACACACACACACACACACACACACACACACACACACACACACACACACACACACACACACACACACACACACACACACACACACACACACACACACACAGCGTGCGTGGCTGTTTGTGCCATGTCAGGGCCGGTGTTGTCTCCCAGTGCTGTAAATGTTGTATTTATGACCCCATAAGGGCACAGGCAAGGACATGTCTCCGTGGCCGTTAGAAAATATGCACCGCGCACACACACTGACCTCTCCTCTCCTGCGCTCCAGTGCCAGCAAAAGATCATTGGGGACCCGGATGAGCTGATGGCCGTCGCCCTGCAGTGCATCTACAGCTGTGAGAGGGATGACCAGCTCAGCCTCTGCTATGACATCTTGGAGTGTCTGCCTCAGAGGGGCTACGGGTGAGACACGCCGACGGAGCCGTGCATGTTTACAAATACCCACGCACAGATTTATTCTTTGTAAACCATGATATGACCGTAATAAAGCAGTCCCCAATTGCCTAATAGAAAACAATACATCGGTTCAACCCCTACTGCCTCCTTCCTTCCACCTTTCTCCTAGGACCCATCAATAAACCTAACTATCACTTATTTTTCTGCCTCACTTCCTTTTCACCCTTTCCTCTTCTACCTCTCTTCATTCTCTTTCTCGCTTAACTCCCACCCCAAAGAGTGATCAGTTAGCCCTGCGACAACCTGTGCTATTACTTTCCAACTATAGCCATCTATGTATCCATCCATCTCTACCTATCTCTCTCTCTCCACCTGGAAAAGACGTCCTTTAAGTCTCCCACGAGGCTGTGTGGGTGATACAGTAGTAATGGGAAGTGAAAGGAAGGAAGCAAGAGTACAAAAGAGACAATTGTTGGTAAAATGGTCGGGTAGAGGGGTCTGAATACTTTGAATGAAAGGAAATGGTTTTCTTATATAAATGTGTCCCTCTGTGTGCACCTTAATTGCATACTTTTCAACAATAGCGTCTTTTGCCCCTGTTCAACGGACTCACATTGCTCACTTTGGCTGTGCTGTTGCTGTGTGCTGTGATCTTATGCTTCCCCTTCACACTCGCAGCAGGGGATAACTGCAATGCAACAAGGTATTGTGGTTCGGCTTGGCAGCAGGGTCGTACTAAACAGTTGAATTGGTGGTCTTTTCAATGCAAAACATACTTCCCTGGGTGGTGGATCCTGTATATAATATGACTTACCAATATGACTTTATTGGCAAGGAAAAAAAACAAATGTAGCCAAATCATCAAAATGCAAAAGTACACAATAATGTTGATTATTATTATGAATACACTAAATATTTGCATATTCTCTTAATAGTCCTTAAAAAAATGCAAACTAGCAAGTTAGCGTATTAACTACTCAAAATATGGTTTTACTGTACAAGTATTTGAGTGTATATAAAATCCTTCATGTTTCTCTCTAAATCAGCACGTTTCATTCGTAGCATTTCACTTTGCCAGACAGGCTTCCCTTCTGCAGTTTGGATTAGCTGCAAGCCTTCACTGTATATGCAATTCCTTCAGCTTCACATTTCTCCCAGAAGGGATTTCTCTGATTTGCTAATCTGCTAAATTGCCACCCCAGTGTAGAATATTGCAGATTTGCGCTGAGAGAAACCACAACTTAATAGTTTCAACCCAATTTTCTGATTTTGTTTTATTTTTTGTGAGACAGCTTAATTAGGTTTGCTCAGAAGAACGTGACGTGTATTCTCCCTGAGGGAGTGGGGGAGTGGGCAGAGGAATAGGGAGGGCGGAGGGAAGTGGAGTGAGGGAGAAACGGATATTAGAATGGGGGGAGAGCTGGAGGGGGAGCAGCAGAGACAGTCAGTGCAGAAGACGAGAAATGCATTGGGAGGTCAAGAGATTTGTCTGTGTGAAAGAAGCGAGAAATGGTTTTCTCACAAAACACACACAGAGAAGGTTGTTTCATCAGGGTCAGTACTCTAGTGGGGGACCGTCCAGCATGACCCAGAATCCTTTGCCTCAAGGCAAAGCATCATGGGGTGTTATTTTTAGTGGGGAATCGGTACAACTTCAACACACCCACACATACACTTCGCTGTACCAGTTTCAATACCCCACAAGGGCATACACACACACACTTCATATTAAAAAACAAAATGTTTGTTCTTTTTCCTTAACAAAATAACCGTGTTTTTGTTTGTATGTTTTGTCGCCCCACAGACCAGACACAGACGTCACCGCCTCCCTCCACGATCAGGTGGACAAACTCGAGAAGCATCTCAGGTACTTCCAACGCGCTCACTCCATCTTTCAGCGGTCGTCTCCTCTCCTCTAGTCTCAGGAGCTGGACACACTTTTGCGTTGTGCACTCAGGAATGAACAAACGCTCCTCTGCTGCTTCTGTTTGCAAGGTGTTAAGGAGGAGGAGCCCTTCCGTTGGTTGATTAGTGCTGCGTTGCTTGGGAAATGTTCACTCTGTAGTCATGCTTATTGCTTTCCTCTCCCGTTATGAGCTTGATGCAAACACCAACAAGGAGAGGAGACATGGATATACTGTCAGCTGGCAGACACACACACACAGACACACACTAACACTCAATATCAAAGCACCTCTGTCTGTCTCATGGTATTCAAACAGCCTGAGGCGTTTTCTCTGTTACAGGTTGAAATCCCCCTCTCTCACCCTCCCTCCCTCCTCCACCCCTCCCCTCAAGATGAAGTTCCAAACATAGAGAAGTTATGAGGGGGAAGGAGGGAGGATACGGATGAAGGCAGGGGGGAGGGGAGGGAGCCTGAAGGGGATGTGAATATAGATGATGAGGAGGAGGAGGAGGAGGAGGAGGAGGAAGCGGCAAAAACAGGAAAGCCTGTGTTGGCCATTGCAGACAACTATCCACACATATTTACATGCAGGCGCACGCCACCAAATTCAAACGCACCCGGGGGAATCAGGAAAGTGTGTTGATGTATATTTTTTGTGCTGAAGCATTGTGACTTCCACACGTACACACACTCCTACCCGGATGAATCAGGCAGTAAATGCAAAGTGTCTGCTCATTGAGCGCCTCCAGAATAAAATCTGTTTTCAGCTGCCGCCGCTACCTCTTGCTGGCACATATATAAATATAATATGTGCACAGGGAACATGCAGACACTCCCACACATGCATTTACACCAGCGAACACAGACACACACACACACACACACACACACTTGCACACATGTTAATATCAAGGCCAGTTGTCTCCCTCTATCTTTTGCACACGTACACACACATCCACCTGTTTACCATGGTAATGACTTGCAGCAGAGAGCGAACATCTGTAGCAAGACGACCCTGTTGAGACTCTGAGGGGCTTCATGCTAATCCCATAGCAACAAACACACGCGCACGCACACACTCGCTCACTTGGTCATATGTTACTGCCAGCATTGAAATCCCCCCAGACAAACACTCGCTTGCAAAGAGGCGCTGTCTTGTTCGTTTGCGGTTCAGCATGTTGCTCTTCAATCTTGCTCTGCTCCCTCTAATCGGCACTGTGTCTTACACATGACTATCTACTGCCAAAATAATGAACGGCTTGGAGCGTACACATCTGCTGTCTTTTGCACCTGAACCTTCCCTTAGATTTATCATCTCATTTTTTTTTCTTCTTTACCCCAGTTTCCTTTGGCATTTCCAACTGTGATACCTATCACTGCCAATTATCCCAGTTTCTGCTTCTGCTGAAAGCGAGAGTCGATGAATGTGAATTGAAGAGGGTTTTTATGTCCCTGATTTGTTTGATGATATTAGCAGTGACCTTACCCTGTGACAGCAACGATTGTACGTGTGCGTGTGTGTGTGCTGATGCTTTTTAGTGTGGTGGAGGTCCTGGAGAAACACGGCCTGCAGAAGCCCATTTTATACGTGAAGAACAGCCAGAACAGTGAAGAGGAGGCGCACCAGTTGATGGTGAAGCTGTGCCGCCACACCGGTCGCAAGTACGAACTTTGAAAAGACTCCACACAGACGCGTCAAATCACAAATGTCAGTCGAGATCCCTTGACCGGAGCTAAAGTTCACATGCATGTGTTCAGAGTTCCTCCAGTGAGCGAGACCGCGTGGAGAGGTCTCCTGCAAGATCTGCTCGACATGCAGCAGAATGTCTACACCTGTCTAAAGCCGGAGACATGCCACCAGGTAAAAACAACAGGAGAAGATTACACGGAATAATCAAATTTCAAGCCAAATTTACGTTATAAAAAAAGGAGCAAAAGCTATAGTTTAAGGTGACAAAGTGCACATTGTGCTCCTCTATATCTCACTTTTGTCCATAATTGACACATTGAGCGGTGTATTTCCACCAGAAGCACCGAATACCAACTTCTGCAGTGTTCAGTTAAACACCTTCTCTCCCTGCACACTATCCCCTCTCCTTGCTGACTGCTGCAGGTCTTTGTGGAGTCCCTGCTGTGTTCCAGCCGTGTGGAGAACCTACGCCTGGCGGGGCAGCTCATGCACTGCTCCAAGGTATATTAAACATGACTCATGACACCACTTCACATTCACAGAGCACAGTCTGGTCCACATATATGAAACTGCCCACAATGAATCCTAGTGCTGCAGTCTCATTGATCTCTAAATGTTCTATTCATGTTTCCAGGTCAGCCAGGACGTTCCTGTCAGTTTGTCGTTCCGGGGTAAAGGTTACGCGCTGAAGGTGGCCTACGACAACAGCTTGGAACTGGTGTTAGCTGCTGCTAGAGAGTACTTCAACTCATCCACAACGCTTACAGACCCCTGCATGGGCCTCGCCAGGTGAGGAGCAAAATGAAAAGTATTTCCCTATTTATGAGCACTGGTTGATATTTTTTTTTTCAATGTCCTGAATCCTCCTCGTAAAAAAGTAGTTTGGAGCCTGACTTCACACACATTTACATTTACTCTATAGCATGATATGAATGAACAAACAATAATAATTTGAATCATTTATGGGTTTGATTTAACTTCTAACCACCCTTGTACCTGTTGTTATGAAATCCGAGGTGTTCACCTTGCTGGTTGTTGATGCAGTTTTCTTTTACTGACTGACTGTAAAATATCGGTGGCTGCATTCATTTCCTTCCTATAGGAACGTTGCGTGAAGTTTAAACCAAATACTTGTTTGAATGGGAGTGAATTTATGCCAGTTGCTGGTCTCACATCTCCATGGGGGGCGCTGGGTGCCTAAGCATACCGTCTGTTCCTATTGGGGAAGTGGGGCAGTAATTGGGTCGTCATTCATTTATAGTAACGCATGCAGCATTTGGACATTATCATCTATTGTAACAGTCCCGTGTGTGTGTGTGTGTGTGTGTGTGTGTGTGTGTGTTGGCTGCTCGTGCTTTTGAGACATGAGACAGAAATTAACGTCTGAACTTATGCATGTCGCTCTGAAATTCGTTGCCCCCACAGACCCGGCTGCTGGTGTCCTCTAGATTAAAATAACTGCTCCACAGACACACATTTTGTCCCGTGTACTAAATACCTAGGACAAAAACATACACAAACTGCACCCCCAATCTATCCTGAAAGCGTGCGGCCATTGGTGCCAGGCAAGGACAGAAAGACCCTTTTAAAAATAACCCGGGAAACCCCTCCAAATATGAAGGTGATCCTGCAGTATGAGGCAGAAGAGACGTTCACATGGACACAGTGGAGGCAGGCAAAGAAAGACGCACAAACAGCAACTAATCAAGCGTCTTGCATGAAAAAGGGTTTCAAGCGATACGTGTATTATGAAACGTGTTGTGTGCAGTGACAATTTTCTATTTCTTTAGCACAGTTTCGCTCATGATTTTGTTTTTAATAGCCCACGACTTTAGTTTATACGGTCTGCTTTTGTCAACTTTGTTTCCACTTGTGTAAGGAATTTGTTGAAGACTTTACATTTCCTGCCGCGCACCAAAAGGCCGGCAGAAAAAGAAAAAACTTGTGCGAGAAAATTGATTACAATCATCCGACTATAAAGGAGCTCTCGGATTGTTACATTCTGAAATATATCACAGCTCTCTCCAATAACCTAAAATAGACCAATTTGTCATTGTAAGTTTTGTCATGGTACTATGGTACTTTTAGGAAGGTGGGCCAATGTTCAAGTCGCCATCAGAACTGGATCACTTCCAGGCATCGCAAAAGCATAAATGTTTCAATTTAGCTTTTAACTCTTAACTTTTTTGCTGTTTAAGCGTCAAGTCGATTACTTTCAATTCCATTCTAGATTTTTGTAGAAAATGGCAAAAAATAAAGTGGGGTACTCTGGTGAGTAACATGCTGATGCTTATTATTCAACAAGAAATGGAAAAGTATCAGCAATATGCCCAAGAGGGGTGATTTGTGATTTTTTTGCTGGTGCTCCGTCTTTTATCAGACACAACTCTTCCGAAAGAAATGTGTTTCGCTAGAAGAGAGCAGCAGTGAGACGGAAAGGAAGAAAGAATAACTGCGTCCGCACACTGCTGCTGGATGTGCTGCTCCAAGAAAGCACAGGCAGGCACTGCAGACACTCCGCAGCACGTAATCAACAGGGCCTCCTTCTGCCCCTCATTCGCCCAGCCACTCGTTCCCCGCTCTCGTTCGCCAGGACCAACCTCTTGTTCCTGGCACCAACGTTAGCCGCGCTCTGAGAGTGGGAAGCCGCCGAGTGTTTTGCCGCGTGTGTGTGTGTGTGTATTCAACCTGTTTTGAAGAAGCATGCTTGGGTTTGCTTTGATTACGCCGACAAGGATGCTGAGAGGCCTCTTCTCCCGTGCTGGTGGCTTTGTTGACTACACACTCCAAGGACATGATTCCTCCTCTGTACTGAGCTGACACCGACGTCAGAGCTCCTCTCTAAGCTCTTATGGGGGATTTATTTATTCGTAAATTAATCATTCTGTTTTTAAATTATTTTTTTGATCTGTCTAAGCAGTATTTTGCTTTTGCTGTATAATTGCTTGATTAGAAAGCCAGAAAATGAGTGCATGTAGTTGCATCTCAAGCAGGCACCACACACACACTCGCACGTTCAGTGCACTGGTACATATGCTAAGTGGTGTGCTACATAATCCCATTAAAGATAATGAGTACGGATTGCGTTAGAAGGGTAAAGCGCTCCGTCAAATGAGTTCTGACTTTGTAAATAAATCCATTTGAGCAGTCCCCTGACGTTGAAACTTCACAAACTCCAGATCTAATAAGAATTTTGTAACGACTACTTTGAAAGTTTATAACTTTGAATAATATAAAAACTATACTACCAATGTCTCGTACATCGTGGAACTTTAAACCTTAAACCTACAGGTCAGAATTTCAGACGTCCTCTTGTGGTGCAGATTAATATATCTGATTGGTAGTCACGTGTTTTAAGCAGTTGTTGTCTTGGCCAGGTCGTGTCTCCAGCTGATCACCGACTGTCCTCCGGCCGTCCAGGAGGAACTGGACCTCATCAGCGCCCTCGTCCAACTGGAAGACTTCAGCGTCAGCATCCTGCCTCTGCAAGGTACTGCACGAGTGCGGAATTTGTTGTCTCTGTGTTGGAATGTTTCTGCTCTCCGTCCCTTCGTCCCCCTATATAGCGCTTCTTCTTGCCACTGTATCTAAATATACGGTTATTCATGGATCATCTTTTGTGCAAACAACATATGCCTGATGGGCCTAAATGGGATTAAAATGCTCGCCGCGTGCACTCTCTACTACACTCACATGATGATTTTTTTACACTTGCTCTCCATCTGCAAACCTGACCAATCAGTATTCACCTCCACCCTCTTCTTTTCCTTCTTTTCTGGCTCAACATAAGTTCCTTTATCGCAGCGGTTTCCAGGCCTGGCTCCCTGTTAAAGGAAACTGTGGAGCCAGAATGAGCCAGCTTGGCCCCTCATTGCCTCACCTCTGAACCGAGGTGTTGTTATGCCCCCCAGGCCTGTGCGCTCTTCCCGCATTTGCCCTCATCAAAGTGATCTGGCAGAATAAAACCCACTGACAGAGAGAACCAGCAACTGCCATCTCTCTCACCCTCCCCTGCTGTCTCCCCCCTCGCTTTCTGCATCCCTTTATTTTTGTTTCTTTTTCCACTCTTTCTACCTGCAGTCTGCGTGCATTATTTTTTCACTGCCCACTTATCCTTACCTGAGAGACAAAGTGGGAACACGAGGGAGTTTAGGAAGGAAGTGCAGTATGAGAAATAAAAGCGAAGGAATTGACACAAACAAAGAAAGCCGAAGAGGTGCAGTAAAACTGTCCAATCATCCTTTTCTTTGTATTCTATGAGTTTTGTGTAAGCGATCACCGCCTCGACTGCACGCACTGACCCAAAGGCACACGTACTCTGCACACACAAAACCACACATTCTATTTATTTTTGAGTTATAACCCCTTTTGCACACACACAGATTAACAAGCGCCACTACAAAGTGAAAGGATCGCAGCATATGTAATCCATTTTAGGCTGCCTCCTGCAGCACCCCACAGCGCCTCAGGCAACGCTTCGTAACTAAAACCCTCTGCAGAATTTCCTCCTGGCCTCGCCCAAAGTGATGCCGAGCCGTCAACATCCTCAGCGGGGGAAAGCTCAAAGGCCTGCGGAGGCACCACCACGCGCTATTTCTCCGGTTTTCAGGAAAGAAAACATGAAAGTGCATTTTTGTGTTAAGTTTATTGTTTCATGAATTCAAGTTGTGGAAAAGTTTAAAACCCTCCTAAAAATTCAGTATAATACTGCACAATGCTCCATGCCAAATAAAATGCGTGAATGCCAAAGAAGATGCATTGCATCTAAAATCTTCAATAATGAAGTACAGTTCATAAAATGTACAAATCAAATCATATACATTTTGGCTGAAATGAAATTACGTAAAAATCTTGTTTTCTATCGTACGGGATTCAACCATAATGTTTTTTGTTATGTATATTTACTTATATATCCTGCAGGGCTGCCAATAACATCATTAATGTATTTTCTTATTGGTCCATAAAATGTCTGCAATAGGGAATAAAGAAATGTCCTCAACCTCATCTGGGACGGCCTGTTTTTGTTATGCCATTTGATTATGTGCAAAAATAAACAAATGACAACAGCAATGGTCATCACTACAAACATAGGCCAATAATTATCCGGCTTGAGATATATACACCATTTTAATATTTTGCAGACAGCAGCTGCATCATTTGCACACCATCATTTCTTTTGTCCGCTGCAACTTTTTTTCCAGATTCAATAGTCACTAATTTGCCAAATATGTCGTGCACCGCTCCCCCTCTGCCTTCCTTCTCTCCCTCCCAGTGCGCCTGCGATCGAACCGCCTGTCTCTCATAGAAGAATGCATCGCCCACTGCCCCACGGCTTACAAGCAGTCCACCACCCTGCTGAATCTGGCCTCGCTTCTCCGAGTGGCAGGTACCTACAGACGGACACACACACACACACGCCGCACTAATCCCATCATCTTTCTTCTGGGTTTAACCGGCTGTATGAGGGAAGCGTTCAGTGAACGTTTGCTGATCAAGTCTGTGCTCTGGTGGCGGTTTCGCGATGCAGCCCATGAGATTAAGTGAGAAAAGGACCGCCCACACGGGGAGCAGAGACGTACCCCGTGCATGCGTGGGTTCCTTCAGCGAGCGCGCCGACAGCTCTCGCGCAGGAGAGAAACTCAGGATCATGAGCGGCGTTACGGCTTGCAAGCAAAAATCCATACTTTAAGCACACCCTCACTTAAGGAACAAGCACGTTTTATTCCCCAGACACATCACTCTGCGCTCTCTAAACCTCGCTCTTTTTTTGTTATCTAATTTCTATGTAGTCGACAGTCAGAGGCAGGTTCTATTCTAAGCCTTTAAATCAAGTGTGTAAACGAGTATTCGTAAGGATATTTGTAGAGGATTAATGCATTGTTTTATGAATGTCAGCACATTTATATGAGGCCCCCAAATTACTGTTCTTCAAAGCTTGTAATGTTTACGAACGAGGTTGGAGAAAGCTGCATCATCTGCATAAAAAAAAACATATAAAATTGTTTATGTTGTACCGAAAAGATGATTCAACAGCCGGTGAAATGTAGCATTTTGAGTGTGACATCATCAAATAGGTTTAATCCAGTGTCACCTGAAAATAAGAATTGTTCTGCTTGTGTTAACTTGGAGTGAGCTACCTACCTATGGACCCGGTAAAATTTCTCTCTGTTGCAATTTGGAACCTTTTTTCAATCAACATCGCCTCACATCTCGCCAGGGAAGCGAGTGATGAGCCCCGTCTTGTGTTGGTATATAGACTTCAGTTCTTTAAGTTGAGGACTCTTTCTATCCCTTCATATTCATTTCCTTATTGTTAAGTTATTGTAAGTTATTTACACATCTCTGCGTTTTTTGAAACGTCAGTCTATTTACCATGTTCCAACTGGGATTCTCTTATATTTAGTATATTTTTTTTATTTCTTATGCAAGCCTTCATATCTCTCATTTGAGATTACAGTATCACTGCAAGCACACTGCAGCTAGCTGATGACTCAACACACAAGGCTATGTTTTGGTTCAGTTTAAATTCCTATTTAAAATTCATGAATTCCCAAAAATATATATTTATTTACGTAATATATTGGGGCCACCGCCCCAGCCCTCCACAGCCGCCTCTTAACGCCGCCACCACATGAAGTTGCTGCGGCGGTAAAGCCAAAGGTGCCGTCCCGTGACCTTTAATATGACTTGAACCTCGCCGTCTCTCTGTCTTTTTTTCCGAAAAATAGAAGCCAGACTCCTCTCCGTCTGTCTGTCGCACCGTGTGAGGTTTTTTTCCCCTCGTCTCTTCTGTCCTCTGTCTTCTTCTCTCTCTCTCTCTCTGAGGCCTGTCACCAGCCAAAAGGGAACCTGCTTACCGGCCTCGTGGCGTTCCTCTGTATGTGCTGCTCAGTCGGCAGGCAGCTCCTGTGTAGTACAGAGGGAGATGAGAAGAGGAATAAACACATTTTTAAATAAATAAATGCAGGGGGGGGAAGGCTTTTGAAGGGCGCATTGCTCGGGGGCTCCGTGCTGCATATTTAATGCAGGTATCACCAGCACACCGGTTAGAAACCCTTTGGATTTGGTTCCCGTCTCGTTCTACAGAAATGCTTCGTAAATCATTCTGTCTCATGGGAGCCATTTTTTAAAATATATCAATAATTATGATATTGAATTGAATTGTGCTGACTCAGAACGGATTGCTTCGGGAGCTTGTGTTGTTGTTGTAGCAACGAATTGACTATTTCCAATTGGTTCTTTAAAAAAAAATGTCTTACCTTTTGCGAATGACAGGGGAAGGCTCCAATTGGATTCCCGAGATGCCTCATTTAGCAGGGCTTGAAATACCTTCTAGAGCATGTCTTGATAATAGTATTCGGTCCAAAATAAACACATACACACAAATGCACATCCTTTATATTGAGTTCTTAAGAGCATTTGAAGACAAACCTTTCACAGGTCACTGAAAATATTTGACCAACCCTGCTTTCCCCCTCGCGTTCCTATCTGCCACTCTTTATGCGCGCGCGCGCGCACACACACACACACACACACACACACACACACACACACACACACACACACACACACACACACACACACACACACAGATCAATCCAGCGCCATCAGAATTCTTCTTCTCGTGAGTTCTTTGATCTGCAGCATGCAGGTCTGTTCAGATGTCCTGCTCCTGCCTCTGCCTCTTTTCATCGCCCCGTCCTCGCCCTTTTGTTTACTGAACTCAGACAGAGATCAGAGATTGTCCTGAGACGCCACGTGAATGTTAACACCACAACCAATCCCACCAATACTAAATTATAAAACTGAGATTCTTTCATTTTCAGCGAGACAGCATTTTTTTCCCCCCATTTTAATATTTCATACTCGTAGGTCTGAGACTGCAATAACCTAATTTACGGCGGACAGATTAATATGCGGTCCCAGGCTCGGTCTAATAAAGTCAGAGGCCCCGATGTTGCAACCTTGAGCCTCTCTGTGAGTGCAGTCAGAAAGAGATTTAATAAAGACGGTTATTAAGCCAGATGTGATATGCAGGATGATGAGATTTGCTGTTCCGTGCGTTTTAGCTCTCTACATCTTGTCAGTTCTGTGTGTTGATGTGCTCTGAAAATAGATACCTTCCTGTGAATGTAGGTGATGACAAGGACACGCGCAGAGGCCAAGTGCTGACCCTCCTGGCGGAGCAAGCTCTCCAGTGTCTGGACTTCAAGGCCTCGTCCATCCACTGTCAGGACGTCATGGCCGCAGGTACGTGGCTGACATCGGAGAACGAGGGACCCGTCACTGAAATGCACGAAAGCCGGTAGAAGAGATAACGAGAACCCCCCCCCCTCTCATGCCCGTCTACCTTTCCACCTCCTTTGCTTCGAACAGAACATGAGCACAAAGCTTGTCAACTGTCGTAAAAAGTTTATATTTTTTCCAGCTCTTTTCTTTGTCAACCCTTCATTAGCTTTTCTTGTGAACAATGAAGCAGCAACAGTTTTACGACCTCGGATCATAGAGGGGACTACTGTATGTCAGCAGGGTTCTCTTATTTATGCCAAGGAAATGCTGCAGTCCTGACGGACAAATGATAGACTATCATCCACTCACATTCTGTCCAAGGGGCATCACAATGTCATTTAAGGCTGGTATTACATCATCAAGATACACTACGCCTGAGGCCATTGTTTTCATCTTCAGTATTTTGCCCGTAGGTTCATAATTCCCAGCTGATGTTGACTGTTCTCAAGCTTCAGATTGCAATATCATTCCCTGGAATGCAAGTTCACGCCTGAGTAAATTGTTCTGTTCCTGTATCAAAACTTGATCCAGGTTTCTAGAAAAACAGAAATAAACCTGAAAGAAAACTTTGAAATTAACAACATGTCAACTTTAATCAAGGTGAAAATCATGGCTGAGGTAGACTTTGTGGTCTTTGTGGTCTTTGAGGGGGTGACCGCTATGGTCACTCACTTTGGGCTTCCTCCTTCCTCCCTTAGATATCCCCAAATTGAGGTTGAGTGGCTTTGTGCTCGTCCATGTTAAAGAACGATAATTACAACAGCAATACAACAATGACATCCTTATTGAGACCGTCTGCTCCTCAGGGTCTCCCTGCAGGGATTCCAAGTAGTCGCTGCGGTAATTATGTTTTGTCTGACCCCGTTTCGTAAGAATCAAAGCCAATAGGACTCGGATGAGTATTCCCACGTTGCGGGGTAACAGTAGACGATGTGTGGATGAGAAAAAGGTGTCCTGTAGGAAGAGAAGGTGTAATCTGATAAGCACCGAGGTTCTCTTGCCTGCGAACGCAGTGGGAGTAATTGGATCTGTTTGGAGGAATGAAGTGTTGCTTTGTGACTGGGATGAAATGTGTATTAGGAAGGTTGCAAGTTATTGTGTCAGTGTCTCAGCATTATATCCTCTCCATTTCTTTTTGCTTTTTACAACAAATTCTTTGAATTCTTATGTTTTGTGTGTGTGTGTGTGTGTGTGCACTTTATATGCCTTGGTGTTCTATCTGATAGGATTCAGGATGGTTCAGCAGACATGTGACGAGGCTGATGGATAATGAAAAACACTTTTGTTCAGCTATTTGGTGACGTGTTTGAGCGGTGCAGGAATAATGAGTTTGTATTTTTGCTCTGGTTCGATTGTCTCGAACTTGATGGCTTTTCCAAATGGGTTTTTGGTTAGATGTCTGAAAGAAGGTGAACATAAGCTTAATATATATTCAAACATTTTGTTGAGACTATGAGACTAAATAAAGTTGTGGCGCCGACTAGTCCATCCTCACTCAACCAAATAATCCTATCTTGGCCCAGAAAACAACGTTATCCCTGCAGCAATCTTTATGTGACTTTGATCACCTCCTGCGTCGCAATAGCTTAATGGCCTCTCTCAGGTGCTCTTATATCCTGCCCTCGGCCCCATTGAGTAAAAGTTGTCTTATTTCCTCTTACTTCGCCTTACCTCCAGCCCTTGTCCGGTTCCTTCTGCACCTCCTGCAGGGTACAGTCCAGCGTGGGATGTGTGCAGTCTGCTGGGTCAGTGTGAGGGCTACGAGGACCTGGAGGCCCGACAGGAGCTTTTAGCCTTCTCTCTCACCCACTGTCCCCCCGACAGCATCCACGGCCTGCTGGCTGCCTCCAGCGACCTGCAAACCCAGGTCCCTCTACACCTTCTGTTGTGGTTTCACCAATATGGATTTTTATGAAACTAATGTGCAATCTTTATTATATTATTTAGTCTTACCTGCAGCTGATACAAGTATTCCTTCAATAGTCAGTCTCTCTTTGTTGGACCATAATTAATAAAATATACATATATAACATTTTATATCCAGCTCATGCATGGCAAACAATCAATCAAAACAAATTCATGTCCTATTGGAACAGAAGTTGCATTTCTAATAGGTTAAATTATGGTAATGTATTTTTTTCTTCTGAGAGGCACATTGAAAGCGTCCTCCTTTCAACATTTTCGCCTTTCAAATCATACCAATTATACTCACAATTCAATGAATGAGATTTCTCCAATGAAATAGCTGGTTGTCATCCTTGGATTTCCGTCCTCATCTCCCGTCTCTGTCCTCCAGGTTTTGTACCAGGCTGTCAACTATCAAATGGATCCCGCTATTACCCAGAGTGGACGAGAGGCCGACGAGACCGATTCAGTCAAGGTTTGCGCATGCTTTTCTCCGTAGCTTTTCCTTCCCGCATGTTAATGGGATTGCTCTTTGTCCCTGAGTTGTAGCGGCATCGTCTGCTCCTCCTGAGTGGGTGTGGGCTTTAGTACGGTTTGTGTGTTTTCCCATTGCTTCATATTTGATGAGGTGTAAATCTAGTGTTAAGGTTGCTCAGCTCGCTTGGTTTATTTATGCCTTCTCTTCCCCATCAGCACCGCCAGCTTTATGATGCCCTGAGTGGCTGTTAATGTTTCATGACTTGCATCCCCTTTGTGTGGGGACGGGAGCTCATTTGGAGCTGTCTGTTGTCATTTTTTGTTGTTGTACTGATGTCCCTCGTCCTTGCCCGTGTATATTTAGGCCCTAGATGGATATGTGCACGTGCACTCTAGAGGTGATTTTTAAATTGTTATTTATTTTTTAACAAACATCTCGACTATATGCATGTTTAGTTTCTTTTCATTCCCCGACCGTCAATCCCTTGCTAAATAAAGTATTGATGAAAGGCACTAAGCGATTGGGCCTCGGCCCACTGGCTCTCTAAATTTGTTTTCAAAATCCTATTCAATTGTGCAGAAACCACCAAACCATGAAAAACGGGTGGCACATTTTCAAAAATACCCCATGAATGCAATCCACAGTGCTACGCACTATTCATTTGTTCATTTTTGTTCATTCAAAAAAAACAGTTAAAACCTAATTAGGTGAGAAAAATGACACCGTTCTCATATCTGTCAAATCTGATGCTGCAGCCAACAATCACTTGGCTATCCCGAGAGGTTATTAAAAACCCTACTAGCACCTCTCAAACTCACAAATCAAACATTAGACCAGAGTGTAAGTAGATGTTGTTACCTTTAGACAGAGCCAGACTAGCTGTTTATCCCCTGATTCCAGTCTTTATGCTAAGCTAACTGGCTTTAGAAGGATCTGTCTCATCTAACTCCAGGCTGGAGAGCAAATAAGTAAGTAGATAAACTACGTTGTTATGGCACTTTCGAAAAAACTTTGGTTTATTAGTACCTAGGACGAAAACCACATATAAACTTTATAAAATGCACTTAAAAAACACAATAAAAACGAAACCAGACTAAAACAAAGAATTGGCAAGCAACTACCTTGTACTTGAACGAGCACATTCCCCATAGTGTTGAACTTGTGCTTTAACAAACAAGCAATTGGGTTTGTGTCGAGGAGTTAATCGCTGGATGGAATTTGATTCACAAGAGGTAAAAAGATCTTTGTGTAATGAATCTGCCCCACACTGCCGTATGATGCATTACCTGTGAGACTTGCAGCGCATTGACTCACAAGAACTCACTGTGGCTCTCTCAGGCAGAGACTTCTAATTCCCTCTTCCACTTTGCACAAACAAACCAACTGTCACAAAGAGCCCTGCTCTAATTCGAGCGCTCCGCTCAAGTACCTAATCAAAAAAAAAAAGAGAACACAACCATGTCTAATACCTCTCAGATGCTTGAGAGTCCTCGAGCTCCACGTTTGTCCTTCGATCTAACACAGCAGCACGGATGTGGCAATCAGAGAACTTTTTCATTGCCAAGTAATAAGAGCACGAAGAACCAAAGACTGCACTCCACTGCAGAGACGCCCGAGTGACGCGCTGGACTAACGAGGCCGTCATGTTTTCTGTCCCTCCTGCTGCCGCTGTCGCTCGCCGGGCCCCAGGCCGTCGCTCCCCCCGTGGCCTCGGCAGGGGACCTGCTGCACAGGACCACAGCCAAGACCATGAAGGTGCTGACCACGACCGGGCTGACCACCAAGGCCGTGCTGACCAAAGTCGGCGACCACCGCTGGTGGAAGGACTCGCTCAACTGCCTGCGGCCGCTGCATGTGAGGACACGTTATGTTCTTATTGATGCGACCTGCCGGAAGCCGAAAGGCGCTTCTCTCTGTCGGGGGGCGCAATAGAGCGTCTAATAAGTTAAATATTAAACTAAGTTGTGGATCTAAATGTGCGTGGTCCAGCAACTCCAGGCCAACCACTTGTTTCTAACTCCATTAGTTCCCAGGCTGCACAACGTGTGTGTGTGTGTGTGTGTGTGTGTGTGAAAAAGCCCAGCTGCATGTCTGCCCATGTCTGCCCCTGCCTTTGTATCTCAAATAAGTTCGCTCACAGCCTTCGTAGACCTCATCCTTTAAAGAAAACAACCAATCGAGAGCGCACCCCTGCATAATTAATTGGGCCGCATATTGAATATTTTAACATCTGGCTTGTTACCGGCGGCCGGACTGGCTCGGCGGTCGCCGGGCCGGGGATTGACTGCGTCTTTGGTCCCGGCAGCGATTTGGGAGGGCGGCTCGCAGTTGCACGTTACCAAGTAAGAGAAGAAGAAGAAAAAAAAAAGATGATATGAGCCTCGGGTGAGAGAGAGAAGGAGAGAGAAGGAGATGACAGAGCTGTGGGCATGTTGTGAAAGTTTAATGATGTTTTGATGGCTCCTCAGGGTCACGGCACAGGAGCCACGAGTCAGGAGTGGGCGTGTGAGAACTCCAACCTGCAGCGTCAAGGCTGTAGCCCCTTTTATCAGGAACTCATTGATGATGCCTGTGTGGACCTGGTGAGTGGCTGAAGAGCAGCTTTCATGGCTCATTATTTTCTCTTCTTCCATTTGTGTCCCTGATGTCCTTATTTCTCCTTTTATTTTTATGTTTTTACTCTGGCCTCCTTAAATAACAGCAGAAATGCTCGGCTTAAGGCATTTAATCAGATTAGATTTTTCCTTTTGATTTATAAAGCTTTTCAAAAACAATGTTGAACAAAATGAATATTGATTTCAGACTCAGTAGTGTTAATGCCGAAAGCCCTTTGGAAATACTAATAGTACTTAACAGCAAAAATAATAAACCAAAAGTAATGGTAAGATAATAAAATCGTAGATGTTGTTAAAAAAATAAAGCCATAACAGAAGAAGAAGTACTGTATATATTAGATGAAGGACGGGCGATGAATACCATAAAACTCTAAAAAGAAAAGGAAGAAAAACAGAGTTATGAAAGTAGAAAAGTAAGCGGAAGAGTAGCTCGACCTTTATGCCTAGAAAATGGTCGCCCCGGGCGATGACTGTGCTTCTTATTCAGAGACACAAATCATGTGGATAGCTTAAAGAGTGGACGCGAGGGCAAACAGAACACCGATACATCTCGTCTCATGGCAAGTTAATGTGCCTCTCCAAATCCCTTCCTCCGCTCCATCCCCAGCGCTCATCCGCCTTCCATCATCCGGCCACCAATAATGGCTCCCCGCGTCTATCTGTCTACCAATCGGCTGATCAGTGGGGTTGTTTTTTTTTTTTTGCTCAACACTTACGATGAGGGTGAAGTGGTGGAGGGAGGAGAGAAACAAGAACAAAAGAGCGGCAGAGATAGACGCGAGAATTTGTTAACCACTCAGACACACGAGAAGTAACGTGTTTAAGAATCCTTAAACACGTTAATCCGACAGGTGTTGGTGTCCTGACCTGTTCTCCCCGGTGTTTCCCTCGGCACAATGATGACTTTATGGAATCCACTCATCACCCTCGTTTGTCCTTTTCTCCTAGAGTCAAGATGTGTATTCGTCATTCAAAGACGTGCCTCAGGAGAACTTTGCCGAGGTTCTGCTGAGAACCGGCAAATTGGCAGAGGCCAAAACGGAAGGGAAAACGCTGTTTCCTGCTACGGAGGGTGAGCATGCAGAAAAACAGCCAAACACACACAGATGCTTACGCAGATAAAGAAAGTATAGAGTGGCAATTCTCAAGTGAATTATAACATTTGAATCCAAAATTCTGCCTAGTCGGTCGTCAGACCAGATTCTTAATGAATAATATTGGAGCAGTTAGAAGCGAGTGGATTCGTTGGTCAGCTCCAATCGGAGGTTATTATTGTTGTTAATTAACCTACGAGGTCTGACTGAAGAGACGCAATGCATTGTGGGGTGCTAGGCTATGATCAGTGAGGATCCCGCCTCCTGCTCACCCGTGTGTCAACGCATCACATGATCAACAATCACACGGAGACAGTATGTGGTGGACAAGGGGACAACATGGCAAGAATAGCCTCACATCGATTAATTAATATATGCCCTTGTAGCCTGCGGCAAAAGTAAATAACGACACGTCACCACGGCGATATCAGAGAGATAGTATGAAGTGAAAACATCAAGGCCACGCTGCGTGATGGATCACAGCTGCTCGCCAAAATCAATGCCACGACGAAAATAAACAGCAAGTGTGTGTGTTTGTGTGTGTGTGTGTGTGTGTGTGTGTGTGTGAATACTAATACGCTGACAATAAAGAATGCAAGACACACACTTTGAACATAGAGTGCTAATGCGTCGATATGCACACGCACACACACACACACACACACACACACACACACCATTCAACCAAATTCAAGCTGTCTCTGCTGTTGTCCTTTAAAGGAATATGTCACTTCTTAAAAAGTCACCTTCCCCGAGCGGCGGCGCGTCGAGAAAGAAAGCGCTGTGGCGTCCCAATAACAACCTTCGAATAATGACCACGCCGGTTGTCCTCAAAAAACAGACCAGGAGATGGCCTTTAAGAATATAAATATATAGATTTTTCACCTGGCCCAGATAAGGTGGAGGTAATTAATGATGACACCAGTGGAAAGTGACCCAATGGTATTGAGCGGAGTAAGAAACGGGCAGTTTGTGTGAGGGGAAGCAGTGGGAGTCACACACACACACACACACACACACACAAACACACACAAGCACACGCACACAGAGCAATAAGTACTGCCATTGGCCGCATGTTGACCAGGCTATAATCATTTGTTTGTTACACGGCACGCACCGGTGAAATAGTAATAAGTCACTGTCTCACGCTAACAATGTGCCTGATTTCGCTGACGCAGGAGTGTTTGTGTCTTTTTTGGGGGTGCGTGCATGTTTGTGGGGCCACACAAACACACACACACACACATTGTCTGTTTTCCTCTCTCACAGTATGCTTTTAAGTCTATGTTATCTATTCTGTGTGTGTGTGTGTGTGTTTACCCCTCTGGTAATTCCTGTCCCGATGGTATCAGTGGCTTTAGAGAGGCGTGTAATCAGCTCATTCTGCGGTGTAGCTCATTGAAACCCTGCAGGAGGTGTGTGGGGGGGGGGGGGGGGCACTCCGCTTAAGAGAGCTGTTATGGCGCATCGGTGCGCCCTCGGCTCACACGAGCAGACTCCAAACCGGCAACTGTATACGGTGGGTATCGGCCTGTGTGCCGTATGTGCATGTGTGAATTCATGTGTGCATTTCTCTATACTGCGGTGTGCGCCCCCCCCCCACTCCCCTCCTCCCCCCGGCTTCCTCCACTTTTCTCCTCTCCGTTCTATTTTGTCTGCGGCTCTTATCACCAGCACAGGCTTTTGTTCTCGTTGGGTCTGAGACTACAAAGTGATTCTGTCTGCCTCCGCTCCTCCTTACTCTCTGCCCCCCCCCCCCCTTCCCTCGAATAACTCGGGGAGTCCGTGTGTTTACATCATTTTGCCGTTTATCTGCTCTTGTGTGAGTGTGTTGGTGGGTTCGTGCATCCCTGCGTTAGCCTGTTGTGTCCTCGAGCCACCGGCAGTTGGACAAAAGTCCATTGCTGAGCCCAAAGTGTCATCTCAACCCCAAATCCCTTGAGCCTCAGGGACATCGAATGCACGGGTTGTGTCCCAATTCCATCCCACACACTAACTCTAAGGAGTTTTCCTGTATGTATCATGCCTTTTTGCATGTGACCTGGGTTGCATCAGTCATTTGTCATTTGTGCGTTTGTCAAGTACAAAACTACTGACATACCATATTTGAACACAAAGGTTTTCTGATAAAATTAGTATTATATACACATAAATAGCCTTAAATAATTAAACAGTCTAATAATATTAAATCATATAGCATAATATTTTTGATAGAAGCGGATATTTACACAAAAACTTTGAAATCATACCTGGAGGATAATGTCTGTAGATTCTATTAAAATGCTTCCCTTACCCTGTACAGAGGGGGTCATATCCCATTATGCCCCCTGGAAATACCAGTCCCCCACAAATAGGGCTTTACATCAAGTGCGCTGGTCTGTTTGAGCTGTTGTGAGCGTGTTGATGCATACCATGCCCCACAATGCAATACAAAAAGTAAATGGAATTCCAGTCCACAGCTGTGCGACATTAAAGCTCATTGCAAGAGGTGTGTGATGCAGCTCGAGGACCTGCAGTTATTGTTCTGTCTGTGAGGCTTAATGCTTAGCAGTGCTGAGCTTAATGGACGGTAGCATTCCAAAGTTTGTTGTTTGTACAAAGCAGTCACATACGTGAGTGGAAGTACACTACGGCAGTATGACCTTTAATCACAAATTGCTTATTCACAGTCGACTTTCCTTTGCTCTGCCAGATCAGCGGTTCAAATGGACACGTCCGAACCAGTTAAAGAACATTTTTTGGATCCTTATGATTAAATGTCAGTCAATATGCATAGGTTTATTTGTCATTCAGGGGATTCGACTTTAAAGTGCACTCCGATGAAGTTTGGACTCATCTGAAGAGCACTTATTAGAAGTGGGCATGTACTTACTCTTTGAATAATGAAAAGCTCCCTTTACAGGAAGCCGTGCATGCGCACATATGCACGTGCACGTGCACACACAACCAAACAGCATTTATACACAGCACATGCAAACACAGGCATGCATACATCCGCCCACAAAGAAGATGGACAGAACTCCGGGGGGGATTTTTAATGACGCTTCTCGACTTTGTTTCCCCCTGTTCTTCTCCTCTCTATTTTTACCTTCCCTCTCTTTTGTCTGGCCCACAGAGAGGTGTGTGCTGACAGGCATTGTCGTCTGAAGTCAACAAACGTGCAATGAAACTTGTCGTGGGGGGAGGGTTAGTGGTTAAACCTCAGTGCTTGAGTTAAAGTCTTTTCTCTCTCTCTCTCTCTTTCTCTCGCTCAATCTCCAACCTTTTCCAGTTTTGCTGCAGCTGGCCAACGATGCATTTCCCAGGGACATGATGCTAGCACTGTCCTACTTACTGGCCCTGCCTCAGGTTGGTGGACACAAGTTGCGCGCACACACGCGCACACACACACACACACATACACACACACAGCTATTTTCGGCACATTATATCAGGCTCTGCTGATACAAGTGTGACTGTATTTCATAGAGACTGAAGGAGTCCACATTCCTTGCCCTTCTAGACGAGCTATTGTGTTGTACAGTTGTCGTCATCAGCGTGTCAATCAAAGTCGCACTTAAAAGACACCGGCGCAATGCCGCCGACTAACATGACAACAGTGGCACTTCATCAAAGGCGTGACATGGCGACGTCGGTCACACAGCGCACGTCGTATCTCACACGACGCACGCACACTATAAAACATTCCCACGCCATCGATATGTGGCCCCCTGTCCATTTTGTCCCGGCTGTCGGAGGAGCAGTAAATGTCTTCTGATGGCTCCGATGAAATGTGAGACGGAGGCTACGACAGTGGATTGTGTTGTGTCTCTGTGGACTAAATTAAGATTATTTGTTTCCTTCCATCACCCACCCCCCCACGCTCCCTCCCCCCTCGTCTATGCAGGTACTGGATGCCAACAGGTGCTTTGAGAAACAGTGTCCTTCTGCCCTGTCGCTCCAGCTGGCTGCCTACTACTACTCCCTGCAGATCTACTCTCTCCTCACACCTTGCTTCAAGGACAAGAAGCACACTCTCTACCAGGTTCGCATGGAATACCAATCATGTGTGTGAGTGGAGGTATTGGGCGGAATGCACAAGATGGCAAGTGACAAATTCTCCAATTTGACATGGGTATGAATGATGCTTGAAATGGAGGTTCTGCACACCAGATACTTTTCTTTACCAAAAATTCTGTGCCCAACGCACATTCACGGGCGATTGAGGCTCGGTGCTATTTTGGCCTTTTTAGTCGGAGCGTTTCACAGCTGGGGACCGGACGCTTTGCCGTTCCAAGTCCGTTTCCGTTGCTTCTGGACGAGCTGGCAGAGCAGGTGCTTTGAAAGTCAATGTCAGAGTGACCAGGAGTGAGGTCCCTTTTCTATTTTGTGCACTATTGTGTGTGTGTGCAAAAGGGAGCAAGAGAGAGATGGCTGTTGCGCTGGCACTTGAGTGGAAGTTAATGTATGTTTAGGTTACATTTGGCCCATGAACGCACACTGCGGCTCCGCCATAACCAGGATGCTCCCGTTTCCTGCTTCCCTTGCTTCCCCGTGAAGGGAGAGTCTGTGGGTTTACTAAGCGGTCTCTGGATAGAGACAAAGTGCAGCACAATGTGCCGCAAGCACGGAGCCTTCGCGTGACCAGAATGAGAGCGCTTGTGAGGCGCGAGACGTCCCGTTTGTTGTCTAAACAGGAGGTTAGATCATTTTGATGTGTGTTCATTTCTAGTTTGTGGTAATATGGTGTAGATGTAAATGCATTTCCCCACAATGTGTTGTATCATCTCCACTTAAGCAACAGCAGGTGACTAAAGAGCCTGTGGATAACTTGTTTTAACATGAATTTTCAATGTTGCTCACTTGCAAACACGACAATAACACGGAGATGAGGGGAATACATTATCCATTTTGCTTAATGCTTTCCTTCAAGTAGAATTAAGGTCGGCGCGGTCATCTTATTGTCTGACAGTATCTTAAACTTCTCCAGTGGATTTTTTTTTTTTTTAAAGAAAACACCCCCACATACGTTGGATGAATGTCTTTTCTATGGTAATCATGCCATTGGGACTGTAGTATTGAACATTGATTTTATCTCGAATACATTTTAATCACTGCATTTTGGCCTCATGGAGAGAGGATTTGGGAACCCAAAAGGCTTTAACTGGCAAAAAGCCTCATAATGGATCAAACTGGGAAATGACTATAATGATCCTTTTACTCATTGGCATAGTAATGCAATTACTTATGCTCTAAGTCACCTCTGGAATATGTGTCTATACACACATACTGATTAATTAGATGTATTTGCCGTACATGGGGACACGCTAACGCCACGTGTTTTTTTTCCCTCGACAAAGTGAGCAATAAGTAACCAGAAGATGTTTCTTTTAACAAAGTGAGTGAGTGAAAATTGGTATGCAAACAAGAAAAGAGCAGGAGAACATACGAGCGGGAAGTGGAAGAAGAGGGGAGGAGCAGCAGGGGGGGGGTTATGGAGAATAAAAGAAGAAATGGTTCTGACCTTTTCCTCGAGTGGACCGCGGCTCTCACTGACTTTGGCCCAGGTGGACGTAAAATGCTGTAATAATAAAAGGAAAGAGGCAAAGAGGCCAGCAGAGAAAGTGGATAAGTGTATCCTAGTTGACATTCGAGGTCAGAACCTGGGCACGAAAAAAAAAAAGCTCAAGCTCACACACTCAGACATGAGTCACCCTCACACACCCACAGACACACACATCCTCCCTGCCACCTAATGGCAGTAATCACTCCCCAACCCCGCTTGCTAAAGTGAAGTTCACGTCCATTAACTTAATAATATATATACCGCTTCCCCTCCTCCGCTCTGCACTTCCGACTACCGTCACCTTTTTGTGTACCTGTCCCCCTTTTTTCCCCCCTTCCTCTTTGGTGTGCTCCACCAGAATGCTTGTTATTGTTGTGGTTGTCGCCGTCTTTTTGACGAGGCTGCGGCAACTTTCACCTCAAAAACCGAGAAGAGAAAACCTTTCCTACGCTTTTACGCTGGTCTCTTCCTCCACATCCACCGTCGTTTTTTTGTTGTTGTTTTTTTTCAATCCCGTTTTTTTTTTCCATCGCCCTGTCCCACCGACCCCCCTTAGCGTGTACTCCTTGTGTTTCCTCGTCGTTTTTTCTCTGTTGCGTTTTATGTTTTATCGCTCCTCCTCCTACAGCGTTCAGATTATTCCCCCCAACAGATGCGCGTCTCGCTCTCGGAGCCACAATGCTATCTTGACTTTACAGAGTTTTCTTGAGCTCTAGCGCTTTCTCTTATCTTTTTTAAGGGCACAATTTGTACGGCGTGTGATTTTTTTATTTTTATTTATCTCAGATATGTATGACATAGTGCTTGCAAAAGAATATATTAACAATATATATATATATATATATATATATATATATATATTGCTATGATAGGTTTGGGGGAGAATACCATGTTGTACCACACGAGCATGTGTTTATTTTAATATTTTTTCTTCATGTGCGCACATTTGGAATTGTTTTTGTGCAACCCTTCGTTCGTAGTGTGTGTGTGTGTGTGTGTGTGTGTGTTGGGTCTGTACTTGCGTCTGCGTTGTGGCGTGTCGAGCTCTCTCCGAGTGCTTTCCCACCCTCCACTTGAGGAGCAGCAACGCTGCCTCCGACGCTCTCACACTTTTTCCGTTCTCTCGTCGCCATCACGTGAATTTCATATCCGAGCAACAGGACCAAACACTTGAGACGCAAAAGTAATTCAGTTGCAAATGGGAACACAGCCCTCTGAGGGCTCCTTTTTTTTCAGGTCTTTGGCGTTTTTCCAAAGCCTCTATCAGCAGCCTGTTCCCTCACCGCTCTGTAGATGTGAAGCTGTTGGGAGCTCACGCTGCCTGAAAACATCTTTTGTGACTGACAGCTGTGAGACATCAATGACAATCCTCTTTACTTTTTTGACTTTTTTTGTTCATTGTTTGTTTTTATTTGGGATGCATTAGTTCTACTGATGCATCCCAATTAAATTGACAAAACTATATTCCAATATAAGAAATGCATTTGTTGTGCTTCATTAATCCCTGTGGGAACGTTTGCCTTATTGCTGTAAATCATCACCAATGAATCACTGATCTCATTCTTGCCTCCAAATTGAAGGATTATGGAAAATACCTCACTTCTTAGCGAGTTTCCCTGATCTTCTGACTATTCGTGTAATTTTGCTTTGTCAGACCTTTTTTCTTTTTTTGTAAAATTGCCTCATTCCCAGACGCGAGTAATCCTCTGGTGACTTTGTTGTCAAAGCCAATAGAGCCAAAGGCTATGAAAATGAACCGCGTTGTGACAAATTGAAAGTGATCTTTTAATTTGAAACCCTGCCGTTCTTTTTATTCAACCTCTCTTCCTACTTTCCCTTCAATCCCTTAAATGCCAATTTAATATATTTTCATATTTACCTAGTACATTTGCCAAAATTGGTGATTCATTTGAGGCTGATTTAGTCACATTTAGTATTTTTATTCAGACCCTGGAAAAACAAGCCAATGTTCCCTGCGTCAGTCTAATATCTCAGCTGTCACAACATTACATTAATAGTTAAGTCCTTAGTTGCCTCTATGCCCTTATGCATCATTTCATTTTGTATCTATTTTTCAAGCAGGTGAACTAAGATACTGTCCTTATAGTCTTGTTTTGTAATAGTCTTTCCCAGGGTCGGTCTTACTGTATGTTTCCAGGATCATTTCTGAGATTACAAAGGCCAATCTCTGCAAATCAAATTGCGAACCGCCGGAGCGAGACGTCTCAAATGATATTCGAGCGTGCGCGCGTATCAACGTCTGAAGTCAACAACACACGGGGACCTTGAGCGCATAGATTGGCGCCCCTGGTTCCGGAGGACTGCATCAGACAGCTTTGCGCCTCTAGAAGATTCTGTTCTGCCCACTATCGACTTCCAAGCCCAACCAGACGACAGCGGCTCCGAGGCACAACGGAGGCGCGCCGGGCCTCAATGACACGGATGCCAGCTTTCCATTATTCCCCCCGAAGCTTAATGAGCTGATTTCCACCTGCTCGCGGCGGAAGTTTTCATCTTTTTGCCTCAGCTGCTCTTTTCCAACACAGATGGGCTCTTAGTAACGCGCAGTAGCCCAAGCTTATGCAAGTGTCGAGGCACGTCTACCTGCACTCGTATGCTAGTAAAGACGTTGAGCTTTTTCACTGAGACCATTTATCTCTCCCCGTGCAGTGGCCGAACCCTCATACTAGAGTATTGATCACTCGGCGCTCTCGGGGCCTCATACATTAAAAGCATGCGCACCTGTGCCAGGCACGCCCGCCATCACGTAGACAGTCCGCCCAGCTCGCTGAACATCTCATTATGACAGTTCCTTTAGTAATAAAAGCGCTCCGATGGAGTCAGTGAATTGGAAATAGAATGCGCAGCTTTTATTAAGTATATCAGTTTGTCTTTTGCATCTGAAGGTAACTGTAAACGGTGTTTTGTTTTTTTTCTGACCGGAAAAATAAGACGCGACGTTTAGCAAAGCACTCAGCAGAGACAAATCGTTTAGGAGAGCAAAGATGAATGAAGTGTTTCCCTCTCAGCAAAACCGCACTTTGCTCACTCATCTAGCGACACATTTCCGGCGGTCAGCGCGGATGCTTTTTGTTAAAAGCTGCGACGGCCGAGGTCGACCTTGCCTGTGCCGACTCCCCGTTGTCAAATTGATTGGGATGATGAGTGAAGACCGAACGGCCGCCACGTCATAGAAAATCACCGCCAACTCAATGACTTACTTTCCTCTTTCTCTGCAAATGTGTGCACTTGTGCCAATTGAACGCTCGTACCACAGTCATTAGCGGCCTAGATTTGACCCGCGGGAGCCCGGTGGAGCTGCGCTACGCAGTGGACAACTCTGGACCTTTGGATTAGATGCACTGGGGTTGGCTGTGCTAAGTTCCTCCTGTCTGTGTCAATGCAAGTTTGTTTCTCTCCCCCTTAGAGTCTGACATGCCTAATAATGTGCACATACTGCGTATTTCACTTACAGAATTAGTGCTAATGACGCCACTGACTGTATAGCAAAGTGTTAAGCACGATACAAACGTATCTCATTAAGATCATTACTAGCTAACCCGCGAGGTAGGGAGCCTCTATGCTGTGTTTGTGTGTTCCTCGCCACACAAACCGGTGTTAAAAACTATGTATGTGCTATGGAGTTTGATGATGTCAGGGAAACTCGCACGCGGAATGATAATTATACTGAGAGTGCAACAGAGTTCCGCCTTTTAACCCTCAAACCCCTTTTTAGGAAATTAATTGAAAGCAAATGAAGTGTTTTGATTTTAACAGCAATTAATATTAATTTATTCTACTAGCTCGGCAGGAGATCTCCCATGTTAATAATTTAGCTCTATAACCTGCGAAGATTTTGTTTTTATTTTAAAAAATAACAACAGTGACTGAAATGAGGAGAGTATAATGTGTCAATACATAAATAACATGTAGATATCAATGTATATTTTGGTCTAAAATATTAACATATTTTCCACAATCACAAGCGGAACAGTAGTTGGTAAAAAGGAATAATGAGTAATACAATTTAGTTGATTTCTATGATTACATTGACAAATAGTTTCATTAGAGTCACTTAAATGTTTAAGCAGACAGCATTTGGAAAAGGCCGATGTCTGCAAGGTCGAGACTGGAAAAAGGTAACGCGGCACATTAAGAGTTTCAACAAGACAGCAAGCGTGGATGAAAAGATTTGGGACTTTTTTATTTTTACACTCCTGCCTCTGGAGCGGTATCACAGGAAGGAGGAAGGCTGGAGAAAAGAGCCCGAGGCAGCGCTAGAACCGCTAAGAGGGAGCTGGAGAGAGCCGGCTTCCTCCAAGCTGCGCATCATCACATGCCGCCTTATGCAACTGGACATGCGTTTTAAACGTCGGTCCCTCGCACCAAAGACTACAAGTGGCTTTTTAAGATGCATTGAAACGAGATGAGCAAGTAATTATAAGATGAATAGACAGTGAGCAGTACAAGTGTTGTTTTTGCTTAATTTGAAGACTTGATAGAATTGAAAAGAATATTTATTCAAAAGAGTTCAGGGCGATTTTGAAATATGCACGGCAAAACAATGCTCGGAGAGGTTATGGAAGGTTTAATCCAGCTCGCCCGGAGGACAAAGTACTGCAGATGATTGACAGAGTGAGAAAGAGACAGCAAACAGAATTTCGTCATGAAAGACTTATTTCAATAAAGCTCTTCAAACATCGGCCCGTCCATCACAGCAGACTTTCTTCTCTCTCTCTCTATGTTCTCCTTTGTGTGTCATTTTTCCTCATCTGAATTCTTTAAATTATACCCGCATTAACAAAAAACACCCGACTTTTCCCCTCCTGCCGCCCATTGATTTCCTGCTCCAATCTCCCGGTTTATTTCCTCCCCCACTGACTATATTCATTAATATTCTGCTCTTTCTAACTCTTCTCCTGTCCTGCTTTTGAACTGCCACCATGACATAGGACAGACCCACACACACACACATGCTGAGAGGAGGAAGGGACACAATTATAGACACACAAAAAATGTCTCCAGCCGGCGTAATTACCTTATGCAAATAATATCAGCAAATAAGCCATCTCATCCTGCTGGGCGACAACTCTGAAGATGCCAAAAACCAAATTCAGGGGCACATTTAATTAGAACAGAGGTGATGAGAGAGAGGCAACATTCACCTACCGCCGCCTGCGTAAATGTGTATCCGCCGTCCAATTCCCCATAGGCCTGAATCACAGTTGCAATTATGGTTCCTGGTACGTTTTCACATATTTTCCAGGCGCGAAGGGAGAAAAGGCAAGTCAAGAGTTGCCCGGTTTTAAATGGGGTGACTGAGTCAATGTCTCCCTAGAAGGCACATTTGACAAGTTATAGTAGAAGGTCCAGGATCTTTTCTCTTTTATTGCAGAGTATTTCTTTTTTTTGCAGAGAATTAAAGCCATTTAACAAAATAGTTTGCCAACTAGTACTAGTTTGCCACTGCAAAGGAACAGAAGACGTGTGCAGTTTCAAATGCCGCGCAGGGTTGCTTGTTTGAATCCCATAATGAGGAGCCTTAAGGGCAGGTAATTGATGGCTCGTGCACTGTGGTGCACCTCCTGGATCGCTCCACAAGTAAGTCGCTGCGAGCAAACAAAAGGTTGAGAAAAAAAGAAAGCGAACAACAGCTTCTGTTGTTCTCTGTGCTGGAACTAAATCATGTGTCTTTTGAGGTGGCCGCAGTTTCCGTCCCGTCGTCTCGCTGCAGCCTCTTCCTCTGCAGTGGTTTCATGACACATTATAGTTAAATCTCCAATAGTGTTACCTCAAAATACTCTTCTGCCTTCTTGGGATTTGCTTGATTTATTTGTGCTTACATTTCTTTTTTCTTTGAATTTGGGGAGTATTGTTTTAATTCCTTAAATGTTTGGAGCCACTCCATAGATCTGTAATATTAACAATTCCCTTTTCAGCATATTTTAATGTTAATGTTAATCCAGGGTCAGGGGTGCTTAAAGTAGGCGTTTCCCTAAATTTAAGGGAAGGGGGACAGTTGCAATCTTATTTCTGACGGACACAACCTTTGTACGTGAGACCAAACCTGATTTTATTCTTTACAAAGCAGGTGAACGTCACACTTTTGCCAATCCATAAAAACTCTTTAGAACATCTTATTATTATCTAATTATATCAAAAACGATGTTTGAGGTTTAAATGGAATTTGACTGGAAGAAAAATCTAAATTGACAACTGGTAAGTTTTCCCCCTACAGCAAAGTACATGGGATTTGCAAATCCAGTTTGCATTTGCTTTCATTCAGAGGACATCGTAATACAGTCTAATAATTGTCAGGATTACTAAACTGAGCGTCAGCACAAATGTCCGCTCCATCAAATTTTCCCGCGTGAGGCTACCGGCATGAAATGACACATTCATCAGCAGTTTGCGAGTAAACTATTTACTATTCCTCCTTTCGAAGGCTGACCCGAAGGAGCTGATTCGATTGGTCACACTGCACGTGTCCGCCTACTCGGATTGGCCGGAGGAGCTGCAGAAGATGATCGGCCAGCTGCACGTGTACAACGAGCGCCTGAGGGACTTCACCCAGGCCCAGGTGCTCCAGGGGCTCGGCCGCGGAGTGGACGTCCAGCGCTTCAGCTCCGACGCCGACTACAAGAAGGAGACCATCCTCGGCCTCTCGGAGTAAGTAGCGAGTGGACTTGAAAGGAATAATACGTACCACGTTCCTTCGACTGATTGACTTCACTTTGAGTAAATGATCTTACATGCATGTTTTTTTATTCATACGAGTGGGTGTGATTATGCTTCATTGCAGATTGAGTCTGATTACGGTTTTCTCTTCTCCATGTGTGTGTGTTTCCAGGACGCTGGAGGAGGAGGTGTACAGGATCGCTCTGTCTCTGGCTAAGCGCTACAGCGTTCCTCTGTGGGAGGTCTACATGACTCACCTTGAGTTCCTCTTTACAGACAGCGGGTACACGCACACAAACAAACACACGCAAACCGAAAATAAAAACACGCTCACATGAGCCTCCCTGAGCGTTCCTCATCTCATCAGTTTGCGATATTACGTCAGTCAATGCACACTAGAAATGCTCTTTAAAGCTATAAAGCTGCTCTGGTTTATTCTTGTGTCATTTTAGTCTTCATAGTCGTCTATTTACAAATCATAAAAAATTGAATTGCAAAGCTAATAACTTAAGGAACAACACAGCCACCGAGTTCTGAGTGACACCTCCTACCTTAAAGCCTACTCAAAGCACCGCGTGAGTTAATCAAGCATGTTGTGAATATGTGTTTGTATGTGTGCGCTCGAGTGTGTCACGGTCTATTTCCATAATCTATTTCCTATCTGACTTTATCGCTAAGGATCTGACTAGCTCTGCACCTTTTTCTTGTTTTAATAGAATGCCTTTTCAGCAGATGTGCGTGCACGTGTTTGCGTCTGTGATAAATAACCCTGCTGTCGCATTCTGATATAAAGGAAATGGTTTATGGGCTCCACTTAACGATAAATTACAACCTATTCCTCCTCCGAACCCACCACGGCTGCTGTGTGTGTGAGTTTCCACCAAAATCTCAAGATCATGACAAATGTGTGAAGAATATTCATACTATAATCTTGGCGAGAGGCATCTGCAATATGTGTATTGATTTGACGGATGGATGGACACAGCGACTGATATAAATAGAGCAGAAGAGGGGAAAGTTAAAGGAAAAGATGCACGCAGACAGAAGCAGGGGTGTGAGATGGAATTTAAACTGGTATTGATTCCTGTAGGCAAGTGCTTCCTTTCACTCATTCTGTCCAGCTCTGAAACCGGTACTTGGAATCAAGACGTGCCCTCCTATTGCATTACATTCATTTGACATTGATTTTGTTCTCAGCGGCTCGCAATAAGTGCATTCAAACTAACAAATAACTAAATATGCGAAAAGTGCAGAACAAATCCTGTCCAGTGTCGTGGTCTAGACGTAGGCTGGAGGTCCAACGGGAGACGCACAGGCTCCATCCAGAAGAGAGTCCAGGTTGTTGGATGAACACCTGACGGGCTGCTTCACCAATCCTCCTGATGTTGTGCACGAGGAATCATCTTCATCTTCAGAAAAATGAAATGGTGATTCAGAATCTTAAGTTGCATTGATTTGTCATTTAAAAAGAAGATGAAATGATGTCGGACATTTAAGCTGCAAGCAGAGATGAACGAGTCCTCTGACGTCAGTGGGCTGTTTACTGAAGTCCTGGTGACACTGTAGAGATCTGCAGCTCCTGAAATGAAACCGGCGCATGTATTAATAGTAATACGATCAAAGGTGACAAATGGAGAAATGCACAAATGTACTCGAGGTGAAATCCGTAGAAAGTGCCGCGGAGCCGTCGCCGTTAAGTGTTACAAAACGCTGCATCTGGAGAAATACCCACCGAATCGGTGTGTGCAGGCTGGGAGGGGTGGAGGGGTTGGATGGATTGATGGAGGAAGAAGAGATGGATGATGGAGCCGGAGTGTCTCTGAGACAGTCCTATTAACACAGAGTAAACGCTCGGGAGGAATCGATGCCCCTCTCTGCATGGAGGGCTTTGTGGATGTGCGTGGGGGCCGTTTAGGAACATTCCACCTGGGTTTATTGACATTTTAATGACAGCTGTTACACAGAAAGGGGGGGTGTTGACTTTTTACTCTGTCTCACAGCTGGTCCCTTAACGTCCCAGCGGATCGGACCCCCGCCCCCCCCCCCCTCAGGTCCACAGTTAGTCCACGAATATGTCCGGGGAACGACACTTTCATCAAATAATGAGTACCCAAACAAACATCACAGATTCCAAACGGCGAGCTCCCCGCTTCAGTTTGCTAACACGCAGCCACAGCAGCAGCTGACCGCTCGCTCTACTTTTACCGCCGAGCGGCGTTTGCCCGTGATGAGAAATAAACAGTCTTTTGAGGCAGCTTCCCGCCCGACTCATCCAGAAGAGGTGTTTTGCTTTGAGCCTAATGAGGACTCCTCAGGGACGGCGAGGACACCTTTTTGAGTTCTTTACCGGCTCCATTAAGACGGCACAGCCGGTGAAGACGAGTTCAAGTCACGTCGCACATTTGCGGTGTTACACACCGTACATGTCATAGCTTCATGACAAATGGTGTATATGAATAACTCTTTAGTTGAGTGTGTCCCAGATCCATGTAAGGCCCCCCCGCAAGAAGGCTTGAAGGTATTGACTTGCGATACCTGAATCCCCTTAATTCACTTCAGCCAATTCCTCTTCACACATATCTCTGCTTTGCACTTCTGGTCTAAACCAGCGACCTTCACCTTTCAGCGACCTTGCGGCATTAAAGGACTGCATTCTGCATTCACACCTTTCCTCACAAATCTCTGATTGCTTTCTTCTCCGCGTGCTTCCTCCTTACGGCCATGTTGCATATTTGGATTTTAGTTTTTTTAGCGAAACATGAATTATTAGCAAATGAATGACTAGTCATTCCTGCAAATGAGACTCTCCTCATACGCGTGAGGCTGTTGACGCGCCACCCGCTTTGTAGGAATAGTACACCCTGTTTGCATCACACTGTTGTAGACATATATTTGATTATCTCAAATGAAGTTACGGCGAGCAGGCGTCTCGCTGCGTGCTCATGCGCGTGAGCTCAGCACGCGAAGACTTTTTTCCCGGAAATCTTTTCGTTCACGGGAAGAAGGACCCCTTACTCCCCTCCCCCCGGGTTAGAAAAATCTTTAATATTCTCTTGGCCGGCCCCTTGGGTTTCTATACTCCCTGTAGGGTTTTTCGTGCGCTCCCAAGGTTTTAAGCCTGAAAGCGTGCCTTGGGCCAGTATTTTGAGCCCGTTTTTTTGGCCCTTTTGGGGGGGGGGGGGGGGGGGGGGGAACCAGGGAAGCAGTTCTCAGTCTGAAGAATGCCACTGCATATGGTATAGTAGGTAAAAGAAAACGGCAAAAACGCCCAGTCGACAGAGTTGAATGAACAGATACAAATGCACGGCGCCCGGGCTGTGAAGTCGGACGGTTGAAAGGAAAGCAGTCAGTGAATTAACGCCGTGAGCTCAGCATGTGATCCGCTGCCATGTGACATGTGCATGCTTTTTTTTTTGTGGTAATTACGTTTTATTAAAAGAAATGTTTTTCTGGTAGCAGCAGGCCTCGATGGATGGCAGCTTCAGGAGCTCGTTCGTCCGCCAGTTTTCTCTAGACATCGTAAAGTCAACATTTTTAATTTGTTTTGTGCTTTTGGTTAATGACCAAATGACGGTAAAAGTAATGACTTCCTTGGGCACAAGGTGGCTATTTATTATAAAAAAGAAAAACTCTTATGAGCTCACTGTACCTGGCAGCAAAAAACGGCATTTCGCAGTTAAAGTGCCAGATATATTAATCCATAATGGGTTGTTGCCTAAATTCAGTTAAAAGGGGAGAGAACATTTTGGACATCCAGGCTGGACTGTATTTAAGAAGTTGACCTCATCGCACAGACGTCACCCTTCCAATATAATATGTAAGGATTTTTCACAAAAGTGGGTGGCTCTTTTCCTAATGAAACGATGAAACTTGTGTGTTTGCAGGTGTGTTTGTGTGTGCAAATGTGTAATAAGCACAGAAGCACTGCTTCACAAAGAAACACGTAATCAAGTCAAATTGTCGATTGCTATTGTCGAGTTATTGTACTGTGCAGCAAAAAAAAACAACCTTTTATTACCCCCTGCTGGACCGTCTTTTGTACACATATTAGCGGCACAAATCAAACAAAAATAAATAAATACAGTTTGGATATATTCAAACAACACTGCTGATTACTCCTCACTGCTCAGCCAAAGCCCCCACCGAGTTTCATTCTGTCTTTCTGATTAACACGGCAATTAAATATGCTCCTGAGTTTAAGAACACAGAGAGCCTAATTTTCTTTAAACACGGTGGAAGTGACAGGAGACGGAATATGCTAATGCCAGACGTGGTGAGACTACTCCGCCCCATTGAATCGGTTCTTTATCCGCCGTGGCTTTTCAGAACGAACAACAAGAAGTCGTAATGAGAGGCTCCGGATTTTTTATTTATTTTTTAAAGCTCCACTGTGCGTGTGCGTGTGCGTGTGCGTGCGTGCGTGCGTGCGAGTAGGGGAGCTGGGCCGTTTACTGAGAGAGATGCGAGCATCGGTGCTCTTTGTACCTGGACAGAGGAGGAGGGGCCAAAGTGAAAGCAGAGTCTTGACATGACATGAGGGCCCGACCCCCTCATTCTTTTAACACCACTCAAACAGTCCTCCCGGTACGCGCTGTCGCCGCCGTTCTCACGCCGTGGTGCTTTCAGTCACTTATGCGCTAATGTGATTAAATAATGAAACGCCAGGCTCCGATTGGGCTTTGGGAGTGAGAGTCTTCGCTCAGATCGTTGGTGCTTCTGTGGAGCCACTGTGGCGAGGACGATCGGTGTTGTTTGCATTATGGAGCTTGTTGTTGGCTCTCTCTGTTCTGGATTGGGCCTGAGAGCCTCCCGGGGAGCTCTGATGGAGCGCCCCGAGGAGCAGTTGTCGATGTCGTTTTGGTTCTAACAGAAAGACGCAAACGCACACAGACACCGATGGCTCAGAGCCTCTCGGTGACAAACCGCCACCTGCTTTCCTTTTTGCTTTCTCGTGTTTTTTTGCTTCTTCCCTTGTTCAACCTCTTGCCTGCGGTTCTCCTCTCCTCTCGCCGGTGTTTTTCCCGCGTTCCGTTCACTCGTCCGTTCATCCTTCACACCACCTCCTGCTGTTGTCTATTTCTCTGTCGCGGACGTTTTCCGCTCTCGGAGCATGTCCACGTCACATCTTCACCCTCTGTTTTCTGTCTCGCTCTTCGTCATTTCCTTTTTCACTATTCTCAGTAGCAATCTATAGGCCTCATCTCTTTTTCGAGGGACTGTGTCTTTGGAGATAAGGCCCACGGATCTGTCCTGTTTCTGTACGAGCACTTTACAGTGCTGGATATCTCCCTCTTCTCTTTTTTTTGGATGATATTTTCGTCATTACGCTTTCTCTTATCTTTTTCCGGCGCGGCGGTTATCGCTGCTTATGTGAACAACTTGGATCTTAATTAGTTTTTTCTTTTTCAAACAAGCCGCTGTTTATGATGCCAGAAGCTTACTGCCAAGTGTTCTACATCCTGTGGACACGGTGGATAATATCTCACACAACAGGTGTTTACGTGTCAAAAATGTGTTTGTATGGCTATGAAATAACATGTTCCTTGTGGAAACACGTAACATTGCTTTGTTCTCTTTCACCCCCCCCCCCTCTTCCCCTCATGCCCTTTAGTCTTTCCACCGATGCCATTGAATCCCGGAGCAAGTCCCTCGGCCTGTTTGACACTCTGAAGCGCGACCCGGAGGCCTTTTACGGCCACATGACCAAGTACGTTCTGCCCACCGTGGAGGGAAGCGACCAGGGCCGACTGCTCTACTACTACACCTTACTGGAGGCTGCCGGCTGCGAGCCCTACGTCACCACCACCATCAAGCCGGACTCCCACGTCAAACTGCTCAAGAAGCTTCGAACTGTCGCCAACGGTAAGAGCCTTTTTTTTCCTCTTTTTTTTTTTTTTTTCCTCTTTCATGCAGATGGAGCCACGTCCACACGACCAGTAGGTGGTTCACAGTAAGAACAAAAGGAAGCAATAACGCGCTGCTTGAGCTCATAAAAATGCAACCTCTTCAACCGACGGATGCGGTTCGCAACGAAAACCTGATTAAGTCTATTCTTTGAAATTGTATGAGCAACTACAAATCCCTCCGCCACAAATTCATCCGCATTTTGCTTACGCAATCATCTATGCAAGATGTATGCATTGTAAAGAAAGGAATTGATTTTCTTTGGCGCGACAAAGCCACCGCTTAGAATATCTCAATCAACAAAATCACCCATTTGCCAAAGAATGTATGCTTTTAAATGGAGAAAACAGACTCATAAAAAAAAGAGGAGCCTTAGATTGGGCCCGGCTTAATGCATTGATATCATACGGGGAAATTAAGCTGGAAGCCTTTAATGTCAAAAAATCTACCCGAGTGAGCAAAATCCTTCTCAGCGCGATGGATGACGGATGAATGCATGTTGACGCTTCTCCTCGCCGGTCGCTCCACGTCGACTAATTCTTACTGAAATTCTCTTTTGCTCCGCCAATTTCCAAAATAGAAAAGCATCAGGATTGACACAAACAAAACTACTCGCACAAGGGGAGCAATCCACCTCTGGATAAAGTGTCGATCCACCCAACAGCCCGGGCTGGTGAAACAGCGACAGGCTGTTTCCCGTGGCAGCGGCGCCCTCTCCAAGGACGGCGTGTTTCCAGGCTGGAGCGTGTCGCTGGTTCAGCGGTCCGGCTACAGTGCACCGGCTCGCCCGTGTGTGCGGGTGGAGGTGGTGTCACCTGTCGCGGAAGTTCAGTAAAGGTCAGCCAGGTGTCAGCTGTGTTTTCACGCCTCACCTCCTCCCCCGGCCCCAGATAACGCCGCGGCTTTTACCGGTGACACGTGTCTCTGTTTATCGCACACACGTGTGCGCCTCGAGTCATCCATTTCTACATTAACTACGAAAAAAGTGCTTTACTCTAAGATTGCGCTGCATCTACTTCATTTCAGTTTTATTCACACAACTACCGTCACTACTATCATATCTCTACAATAGAAACTGATTGTTATGGCTTATTTTGACTTGATGTTTTCGAATTACTAGTTTTTGAATGATTCTTTAATTTCAAGACAAAAGTACAGGATTGCAGATTTCTAAAAGTAAAACTGAACAGGAAAAAGAAGATGAATATTTCCAGCTATTTGCTACAGTTTGATTTGGCTCCACCAGGTATTTTCTGATCGTTGGTATTTAATCATTTACACAACTTAATTGTGATAATGTGATAACAATATATGAATGAATCACAGTACATGTTTTTTAAATATAATAAATTATCACACAGAATTATATATCTGCCCTGGATGGCTGATGATAAAATAACCTTGGCAATGGCTCGCCTAAATGCAACGTGGCAATCACTAATTAATAACTTTAATGGTGGCATCTCCTTCTTTGAGCCAGCAGCAGAAACGGCAGAAATGCAACATGAAGGCTTTGCTCCTACTCGAGCTCCGTACACACTGCTTCAAAATGAGGAGGAATCCCAAGGTCATCAGGGCTGCAGTGCCATGCTCTAGTTGCTCACTCTTCACTTCTGCCCAACTGCAGCCAAAGAAAGCCCACAATATACACATTAACCCTCACACAAATATACATATGATACTGTGTGCTGGCACATACACAACACATGCAAACTAGCACCAGTCTGTGTATCCACACATGAACACTGCAGCAAAATCCACTTAAAAGTGACTCATTTGCACCGGCTGAAAAAGCATGCAGACAATGTAGAGACAGGTGCTGTGTGTCCAATATTCATCACACAGTTTCAGACACAGTAGCGGGTGACTGTCTGAGCAGGGCTCCCCCGAGGAAGAGGATGACCTGGGGCAGGGGGAGAGACAGGCACACATAGAGAGGGTGTACAAGTGTAAGTGCATGTAACTCTTATCTGCGGTTTAAGTGTCCGTCTGGGCTTGTCTGAAAGTATTGTGTGTGTGTGTGCGCTCTCACAGTTTTGTGTGTGTGTGTGTGTGTGAGAGAACATGTGAGGCTTTCCGAGCAGCGTTGACGGAGTCCTCCCATACTGCCTCCAACAGGCAGACATGTGTTAAATATTTAAGGCCCAGACAGCCTGTGGTGTTGCCACAGTAATGTGTCTGTCTGATGCTTGAGACCAAGAGAACGCCACTTGCTCTCTCTCTCTCTCTCTCTCTCTCTCTCTCTCTCTCACAAACACAGCAGTACTGCAGTGGCAGACAATGTGGCGTTTTCAGACCGATCCACAAGCTGTGCACCTTTACATGCAGATGGCACTGCCATTCCCACACGCTCTTTATTGTTCACATGAACCTTTTATTCTCTCCCGTGCATTTCTCTTTGCACATTTCTGTCATGTAATGGAAAATTCAACAACATCTGCCTATCAAATCACAGTAATTATCCTGCAAGTGCTGTATGCTTTGCACATGTCGCATGTAATTGCAGCAGGAAAAAGGCCACTTTTGAGCAGTGTTTTGTTGGGCGTGCTCTAGTAGTTTGAATGCTAATTCTTCCGCCACAATGCACCTTTTTTGTTCTGCCTTGCTAAGTAAATACATATGTACTAACACAGATTCTACAAGTCAGTTAAATGCATTGAAAAACACAATCAGGATGTGTTCAGTGTCATTTTAAATAAAAATCTCATAGAATTGTCTAGTGCAGACTTTTTTCTAAATGGTAAACTATTTTTTCCCCGTAGGTTTGAACTACCGGAAGCTGACCGATGAAACGTCGGATCCACTGGTGACTCTACAACCAGTTCTGACCAGTCAGAACGTACTGTCCATCTCCAAACTTGCTAATCGGCTGCCTGTGCCTGGAGGTGGGGGGGCCACAGTGTCCCCCAGTGCAGTCCACGCGGCGTGGCTGCAGAAGCTGTTTTGGAAAGGAGACCCGCACTTGCTGAAGAGAGCCCCTCAGAACGAACAAGACTACCTCCACGCGTACGACACCTGCGCCAAATACCTGGACAGGCTGGTCCCGGCTGACGCCGTCGACTTCCTGGACAACGTCACCTTCTCACCCGATGCAGCCGAACAGGTAGGCCTAAATTTAGTCAAATCCTGCCGAGACCTTGTGAAATTCCAATTTCAGTCCATCGACCTTAGCCATGAGATGCAATGTCTTTTTTTCACGTGAATCACCGTACGCTCGTCACCAAAGAGGGAAAACTGTGAAGGAGGTTCAGACAGGAACCGGTGTGAGGTTTGCGATTCATAATTGCAGCACAAGGTAGTGTGTTCCCCGGCAGGGACCCAGACAAGGTTAATATTGTCTTGAGAGGAGGGATCGTGGGGGATATCCAATCACTGTCATCTTCATCGTCCGCACACTCCTTTCTCGTGCCCCTCGGCTTGATTTTTTTCTAATTTCAAAAGCATTATTCTGTTCACATCCACACTTCACTTAAAGCACAGATTGCAGTTGTGATTTAAAAAATCTTATCTGAAAAGGTGTCTTGCAGGGGGGAAGTCACTCAGAGCACCTTATCAATAGCAGCCCATTGCTTTTTTCCCCTCTTCTTCTTGTTCATACTGGCACACTGCCAGCCCCAGACCTTTCTTTTCTTCCACTTTTGTCTCTTTTCGCAGACACTCCAAGGGAGCTAATTGATCCCACTCCACTTCAGCGCCAATTAAACTCAAATTCCCAGCGGGCACTATTTTCCCACTGCTGCTTTTAAACATGCAGATTAACCTTCAGAAACCCACTGCCTTTCCTTTTTTTCTCTCCCCTTTGAACCCTCAAAGTAAAATGCCCCCCCCAACTTCCCTCCCCTCTCACTGTTGGAGGAATGCATTTGACCTTTCACACCTCCCTGCCGCATAACAGCGTCAGCGAAAAGACATGACATGAATAGTAATATAAATATGGTTCAGTTGATTTCAATTGCTGGACTTATTTCTCTAACTCTTATTATTAAATACTTGCAATTCTTTAGACACAGGAGACAAGTGATGTCAAACCCTAAAAGAACAGCTGTCCCTACAGCGTACTTCTGCATCCTACTTGGGGAAGGACTACGGACAGCCTTGTTCGGAAATACTGTGATTCCCTCCGTCACTTTCGCCGTTCACTTATCGCCGGATTCTCTATTTTCGCGGATTTTTCAAACTGCATTTGTTCTTTTTATTTGGGTGCGATTGTGCTCTGCACTCCGAATACGATAAAAACGTCGATCCCGAGCCGGTTCATTACAGTTCTCTCAACGAAATCGAAGGCGGTCAGGTCCGGTGTACAGAGGATCTTTTTTGCAAAGAAAGAAAAAAAGAAGCGAAAACAGCGTCCCTATTCATAAATTTTCTTTTCTCCCG